GCTACAATAACAATAGCAGGCACATAAAAAAACAGGCATTGTCTTGGCATGTAGAAAGAAGTGCACATTTTATATTAAAGTAAACATTCTTATTAAGCTGGTCAGATATGTCTAACTAAGAGATGAGATAAAGGTTAAACATAAGTCAATCAAGCAATTATGTCTAAGTTAGTACACAAACGAAGTTAGCTAGACATGCGGATGCTCAATTATAAAGAGTATGAAACATGCAAGACTATTATGCCTTTGGATAAAACAAAATAGGGCTGTAGCTACTTATAATTAAAAAGCATAATGTGAGACTAGAATAGAATACCACTGGGGTTAAACAAACGGTATGGTAATTGAATACACTGAGGCTAATTAGAGCACGAGACACAGAGTGGGAGCGTAGCCCTATACATAGCAGGCAGGTAGGTATCACTCTGTTTGTCAAAATGTTACCCCAATAGGTCACCCAATGCCACATATAGGCCATAGTCGAGCAATCAGTTCTTTGCTAGGGCCAATAGGTCACCAAATGCCACTCCCAGTATACTGGTGGTGGGGAGGTATACTCATTAGGATAGCAAACTGCATAAGATGTGGCAGGCCTTCCAGTTGGATGTCCCCATAACTTTGGATTTGGGCCTGAGGGGAGGTGGGTACCATGCGTCCAGAAATCCACCATCTCCAGGAGGCAAAATTTTGAGCCTGCTGTGTCCCCATGACTTGGTTATTTCCAAGGGTATATGGACGGCTTCCGGGTCGGTTCTCCAGACGGGCTCCGACCCAGATGTGGAACGGGGCGAAGGAGCGGCTGCTGTGTTGGTCACTGGTGTAGTCGGAGGGGGGAGTACCTGATGGGCCTCCAGCACAGTAGAGGGGCTGTGAGCCAGGTCAGTAGTTTGCTGTAGCGAGGCAGCCATTGTAGCAGAGATTCTTGCATTGCTTTGTATGTAGCGCCAGAACGCCCTGAAGATGGCATCAAACTTCGTCTCAAACTGCTCTCTCCACGTCTGGCCTGCAAAATCTGCTTGTGCAGGCAGTTTTCTGAGCGTGGTGGCCATCTTGGCTCCATTAAGTGGTCACCAGTTGCGTTGTATATGGCTCAAAGTCGGCAGAGATGCTAACTGTCCCAGTGGGGACTGGGATATACCCCACCGATCCAGAGGTGGGGAGGAGTAACGGAGCTGCCACAAGCTGAATGAGTTACAGTCTTCAGGCCAGGGGATCAGCCGCTTCCGTCAGCCTTAATACCGCTCTCTCAATAGGCCTCAGAGCCTGACAAGGTGAATACTCAGGGATTTACTACAATCCGAGTAAAGATATAAGGAGTTAGTGGATAAGTCGGATCGTTACCTGCTGTGTTCCCCAGTGAACAAGATTTTGGGCTCTGTATATGAAATTAAGGCTCAATGCAGCCAGAGCTAACACGAGGCACGTCTGGCCATCTTGCCTGTCGGGTCCCGCTCCCCCATTTAAGCTATTTTAAACACAATGGTGGTTACAAAAGTAATTGGATTATCATACTTGATGAAATTAAGGAACTCACAACATAGATCCCATGTGAGCCGGGCACAATTTAGCAACCACTACAGCTGCCATTGCCCTACTAATACCTACTGCTGCACTACAAATACCTTCCACTGCACTACAAAAGGAATTCTGTCAATGTAGATTTTATTATTAAATGCTGTCAAAGAAGGAACAAACAGTCCCTTCAATAGCTTGTAACAGTCTGCACCAACACTGTCTGGCTCAGCAATCTTTCCAGCAGCCAATGTGTAGATGTTATGTTTAACTTAGCTCTGTGATGGGGGCAGTAAGTATTTCTCTTTGATCATTAGAAAGCCTAGTACGGCTTGCCTCTCTAAGAGTTTCTATGCCTGTGTCAAAAAATTAGATTCATTTTTCACAGATCATAGGTTGTATTGCTGTTTTATTCCCACGGGTGTGTGATGTCAGAATAAGGACATCTAGCCAGACCTGTGTGCAGCAATAATTTTCTCATCTTATTTCCCCATCTATTTTACCCATCTATAATAATAATTTTTGAGTAATTGAGCTGGGCTAAAGCACATTCCATCAAATACATATCTAATAATTGTTTTACATACAATTAGAACAGAATCAGTCCATTAGTCCAATCTCATGGGTGTTGCCAAATATGCCTGATGAGATTGGGATAAAAAAGTTGTCTAGGGTATTAAACTTGTCCAGCCATTCCTTTTTATATTTAGAGGCATAGGAAATAATATGACCTCTCACATTGACCTTTGAGGTCTCCCAGAATAATAACGGGTCATCCAAGTGGACAAGATTATTCCTAAAAAGAACTCGGAAGAACAATTATTCCTACAAAGGAATCAGAAGAAGAAAAGTCAATGGAGACACCCAGTGTCTAGAGAAGGGGATGGGAGGATCCAAGGACAAACTGAGGAGGATCAGTGCATGATCTGAAATTATGATTGGATCACACAACACCACTGAGGACAGGAGATTACAGGCAAGGAGAAAGTAGTCAATCCATTAGGCTGAGTTATGTGAGAGGTGTATATGTATTGTCTAACCTTTAGGTTGTGAACTTGCCAGACATTTACCAAGCACAGGGAGTGTATCAGAGTGAACAGACCCTTGTTTGCTGTAGCATCAGCTCGTCGGGAGGAGGAGGACCTGTCAAGGACACAATTAAAATCTAAAATAGAAAGTAGAAATAGAAGTTTCTTAGTTGCAGCCGGCAACTAATTCAGCTAATGCTCAATTCCGTGAGTTTAGTTGCTTGTTTAGTTGCTATGAGTGAAATGGAGCTTGGAAAGATACTGGAGCAGAAATTTAATTTAAATATAAATCAGCAGCCAACAGATGGGGGGCAAAGCCCGTGGGAGTGCCATTACTGTGGAGCAACAAGACTTAATTGTCCTGATATTGAAAGCTTCAGATTTTATCATAGTTCACTAATGCCATAGAGACTAGGCATCCTGGAACAGGATATGTATAGGTGCTGGGGAAAATAAGACAACATTGACCCGGTTCGCTGTATTAGCCCACTACTCACTGCATTTTGGCCATTGAGCTACTCATGAACCTCATTCTAGTTATGAAGGATTAGTGAGGTCACTTCTTCTTGTAATTAACTTCTAACTGCTGCACACTGGGTGAGAAGACAGGATGGAGCCTGGGATCCTGGGATCATTAGTAGGAATTAGAGGGTTTAGAGATCATCAGCAATTATTAGATAACCCAATACAGAATGTGAAGTTTTCAGAAGCATGAAGGCAACAGCAGAACTTCCAACTTTCAGGGTTATTATCCGGAGTAGGAATTCAAAGTGAATTTCACATTTAAAGGGTTACTCCAACCACCATGACCACTTCTGATTTTATAAGTGGTCACGGTAGTAGGAATCTGCATGTGCAGCATTTCTGCTTTAACACATCCAGAGATATTTGCTTGTGTGCTGGAGGGTGGGGGGGGGGAGGGGGGGGGAGTTACACCCACATAAAAAACTCTGTGCTGGACTGCCAAATGTCAACTCAAAAAATTACATCCTACATTAGCATGCTGGCAACAGATAAACGCTAATTCTATCTCCCATCCCTCACTCCCTCCTTCCTTTACTAAAGCCCTTTCTGCCTCCCTGTAAGAGCTGCGATTTATGCACAGGCGCTCTGAGCTAGTTAAATAGTCCAATCAAAGGCAGAAGTCTCTGTGAGAAGCCTTTGATTGGACCATGTGTTGACTCCTGCGATGTCAGAAGGGAGTGTGCCCAGCAGTACTGGGTGCTTCAGCTGGTATAAGTGTTTGCTTATTTTACATTGGGGGGCGGGGGGGGGAGCAGGGTGCTTACCAATAATGCCCAATAGGGCATCAGGAATTTTGAGAAAAAACTAGGAAAAAAATGTTGGATTAACCCTTTACATCAGAGTAGCTGAAGTGAAAGCATAGCTGACTTAGAGAATTTAAATTTAGATTTTGACCTTAAATTTGAAATTTGCTTTGAATTCTCACTTTAGTAAATAACCCTATTTGTAATAGGTACCTTCATACCACTGCCATGGAGTCAAAGAATAGAAGTCATTGCAAGCACCTGTTTGATTAGGTCTTCCAGTGACTTTTACTTATTTAAAAATGTATTTTCGACATGCATTAAATTGGATGGTGGAGAGTGCCTAAATTAAGACGGCCTCTTTCCAAAACCCCCCATGTTTTTCATCCTTTCTGCAAATTCTGCACTTGTATTTGGGGAATCAAAGTGAATATCACATTTAAGGCCAAAATAGCTAAACTGAAGACAGAATGGACTTGGAGAAGTTTGTTGATTCTGCTATATTTGCATAAAAGTTAAAATACACTTTGAATTTGTTTTGAAATCCTGGTGAATCTCACTTTAGTGAATAACCTTGCTTGTCTTATCACCCTGCTAGGTATCTTTCTTTTAACATTATTTATTTTATTGCTTGAGCTACCTGATAGCTTATGCCAGAAGGGAGCCTACAGATAGACTCCCCAAATTTGTGTCTAAATTAGAACAAATTGGAATAATCTGGTCTAATTAAACTGTAATACTGATTTTAGTAAATACTGTGAAATTTAGCCAAATGACACATCCAATATCACCAAATATGTTTGGCTGAACCTGGACTGAAAAAAACCCTCTTTAAGTCATCATTTTTTCCAACATACTTATTTTTGCCTAAAATGTTAAACTCCTTGGTCAGTCTCCTTCAGCTCCTAGCCTAGTGAATAGTCTTAACCATTTGGCTATTTCTTGTGCAAACTTTTTCAGCCTCATGTTTTCCACTTTTTGCAGTTATCCATTGTCTAGGCAATAACCCCTAAACAAAGTGTGACATCTCCAACAGAAATCCACACATGCTCAAGCAATGAAAAGTTATTCTCACTTTTTTTACTTTCCATTTCCAGTAGTGCACATGAAATTTATAGTACAGTTAGTACATAAATAGAAGCAGGGCACTGGCTGACAGAGTGGAAGGGCTGGGCTTTAATAGACAGTGGGAGTGCCTGGTTGTGTCCCAATGCTCTCTATACATAAAGGAGTGTCGCAGTTCCAGTGTTCAACAAGTGTACCGATTGTTGGAAGTTGAACCAGTGCATACCAACCTCTAGGACTGACTGCCCCAGGACACAAGAAACTAACCTCCAGGTATGGCAACTACATTACCTAGAGAGCGTGTCTTACATGACTATAGCAATATACTGTGTTTTAGCAATAGACTGCACTCTCTGACTGGATAAAACTATTTGTTATACGACAGGCAGCTAGATAGAGGAAAGATTTATATTAAGTGTGATTGTTTAATTTCAGTGGTATTTGTAAGTATCTAACATTCTACATATATATGTTGAATTTGAGATACAGTATCTATATAATCAATTATTTTACTATTACAAAAGTTTCATAATCGCTAGACCATAGTGAGACACATTAATTAGGGGCTATTTTGCTTGTGTATTGCAAGTTTATTATACAGTATATATTCTGTACAACATTCAATAACATAGATCTGTTGGTACCCCAGCAGATTTTCTCCCCAGTTACCCCATCCAGTTCTTTTTCTCCCCTTAGTTACCAATTTCCAACTTTGTATCACCCTCACTCACCATATATAATTTTACCTTCCTGCCCACCTCTCATGATATTCACCTACCAGTAAATATTGTTTTTTCTGCCCTTACCCTTGGTTAGTGACATAAACTAGTAGCCAGTTCATTTACAAATAGCTACTAGTTCCAATCCACCTTGACTTCATTTAACGTTTAATTCACTAATACCAACAGCTCTTTTAGTTCCTCATTACACCTCCTGCCACATCACTCACACTCACCAAATACATCTTAATGCTACCTGTTACCTTTATTATCACTCACTCACCTAACATTTAACTTCCCTCCCAACTTGACCTGGCTTCCATCCTTCCCTTACTATCATCTGACAGACACTCTCACCTTTACCTACTAAACAACTATTGCACACACTTACAATTACCAACATCACTCATGTTGACCTGAACTTCCTGTACGTTTGCCTGACTTTTTCAATTATGTATATAGCACCAACATATTCCGCAGTGCTGTACAACAGGAAACAAAACATATTTAATTCTAACAAACATGTCATCTTCTACAGATACCTCTCCCTGACTCCAAACACCACTTCCGAGATCTTTTATTCATATCCCTTATGACTGCATTGGTGATTCAATTCCTCTCACCTTTTTCACCATTTCTTCATTCCTACACATTTGCATCACTGACACTTGGTAGCATTATTCCCATCACCTCTGACAATGGCACACTTATCACTTACTCCAGCTAATGCATATCTTTATTTTTTCATCCCGACCTTTGTACTTTCCATAACCTTTCAGTGGGGTAGCCCTGGGCAAAGACTCTTTTAAATTGACATGTGCTCAGATATCTGATGTTAGGTTCTGACCAGCAGAGCTATATGTCAATATTACAAGCACTAAACGTCATTGAATAATGGCCTAAACATCAATTACTCATTATAACAAACATCTAGCAGTCCCCTTCATCCTGCCTTTTGCACCCATATTACTTTCTGTACCTTGTCTACGCCTATCTTCACCCTATGACCTATCACTTGTATCAATCGTCTTTATATCAATCTGCAACAATGTTCTTAATGTTTGATAATGAAAATCATCATTCGTGAATCTCATTCTTCGCATATCACCTTTAAAATGCCATTACCTTATTTCTAGATTTATGTATATAGTACACCCATATACCACTAAGAATCATTCACAATCAGTCCACTTAATTTGGCCAAGAACTAAATGCCCTGCTACATTTCTCAAGCTAGGGTCAGTGTTTAAACCTATAAAGCATTTGGCAGGTGGAGACATGCAGTATTGATGTACACAGGTCTTCCTCGTTTGCGAGATTTGGTTGCGCTCCAGATGCACGTATACCCTGCTTATAAAACGTGTTTTGCAATCTGCTTGGGAGAATGTTCAGGAAGTGAGCTGATGCTCAATCTGTATAACACCACCGTCTGCTCACCTGTGTCAATATAGCTGCACGTGTGGGGAAAAAAAATCTTTATCTACCCTACTATTACTTTTTAGCAGATCAACATGGTGAAAAGCAGATCCAGCAGAATTTTTATGTAGCTTAATGCATTAAATAGAGTGGAGATTTAGGTTAAAGTGTAAAGTTTTAAATTGCAGGTCACACGCTGAATGTTGTGTATGTAGAATATACAAATATGTACTTATTATTTATACTCCTGTCAGTCGCTGCCATTCCACTTAGCTAACAACAGGTAGACCACAGATGTCTGGTTTCTGTCTTCTGTTATCTTGTTATAATGAACACATAACTAAATGCTTTTGTATAGAGGTGGTTATGTTGATACAAATTGCATAGTAAAACTTACTAACGTAAGCATTCCTTTATCCACTATTAACTCCAGTGGTTCTTAAAGCAGCACTGTCACTTTCCATTTTTGAGAAAACCTCCCCAAAAGATGATATGTCCACTTGCAAAGTGATGCCCAAAGGAGAGGGGAAAGGCAGATATACTTACCTGAAATTTTCTCTCTTCAGTGCTTTCATCCTCTTTGGTCCAGTCTTTATCTCTCTGTGGCTCGATCTGCCTGAAGTCCTCACTGGTAAACCCTCATCCACATGAAGACTGCAAATTGCGGGTTTAAGATGTAGATAGAGAAACATGTGCATAAACAGCGAAATGTCATAGGCATCACGTAGGAAGTTGTCTGCTTCCTATAGTCATCACAAGTGGTGGCTCATGGGAAACAGTAAGCTGTGCTGGGGAAAGTAGGACAGAAGAGAAAGGGTTATACCAGTCAATAGTGTTATGCACATCACTACTGACACGGAGGGAGTGGGCCTTATCTTGAAAGCAGTATATTAGCCAGGCATGCATGCAGTTGGTGACTGGCAGTCACACTGGCCAGCCTCACTCAGAGCTGCCCAAACTGCATAGCATGAGTGTGTCTAATAATGACACTCGTGCACTGTGCTTTCTGGGAACTGGTGCCTGGGGCACTGTGGGGCAAAACATCAAAGTAAAATTGGTATGATAGGACCCTGAAATTAGCACTGTCATGCCAAATATTACATTTCAATGAGATTCTCATACAGCCACCATGAGTTTTTCATAAAAATCACGTTTGACAACGCTACTTTAACCATTTTTAACAGTAACCCTTATTACATATGTAACATTTGTGCGTGACATATACTTTATTTGTAAAATGACTAAAGTGGTCCTTTCTTCAGTTATGTATTTAATACTATAACCAGGCCTTGTTTTCGTTTTGATAGTGATTTCTGCTTGGTTTGCATTGTGTATATTTTTTCAAAATGATCTAAATCCAAACATTTTTAACCATTTTCTGCTGGTAATGGCTCTGAAGGTAGAAATTGCGATCAATTTACAACTGAGATTACCTCTTGTCATTTTGAGAATTTCTGGATTAATCATTAATTTGTTGAAAAGTGTTGTCAGTCACTTATTACGTCTATTTGGTTGTTGAATACTATAATGAAAAAATGGCTGTGTGTGTTGATGAATCTTATCTGGTGTGATCACTTAAACTTTACTGTTTAATAGAAAATACCAAAAAATGCCAATATTGCTTTAGAAAGGAGCAGTTACAGGAACATTTCAAGCATATAAAGCAGATCAGCTTGCTGAAGCATTTTATATATGTGGACTCTGTCATTTTTCTTTGCAATTAATAAAAGTGCCAGTTACAGAAGAAACTGACTGTTCTTTATAAGTGGGTGCAGAAACAAATTCCTAGCTGTCAATCAGACAACCGGAGTGGTTTTCTTCTGTTAGCGTCACAGAGCTCATGAAAATGGCGGGCCTGCAGGGCTAGAGTGCACCTGCAAGTAGTTCTCAATGATCTGTAATACAGCTCAGTGAGAAGTCTATCTAAAGAAAGATCACATGCGCTCACGCTCGCTGCTCTTGCTTTTCAATGAGAAGCTTCTGATTGGTCAATGCACCGGATAAAGGAGATAAAGGCAATACACCAGATCTTAAATGCGTATTACAATCACTATAACCACTTTAGTTATTTGAAGTGGCCATGGTGGTAGGGATCTGTATGTCTGTGAAATCTGTACGTAAAAGACTGCACATACAGAGGTATCTGCAATTGTGTGCTAGTTTAAAGGACAGAACGTATAATAAATATGGACTGGGAGCTAAGAAGGAAGCATCAATTGCAGCATAAAGAGGTGTGGATTTCTAACTCACATATTTGTCTATGTAACGTGTTTGCGTTGCCTGGCTTCTCCTCTTTTACCTTTGGTTCATCGAGTAGTACAGTAACTATTTCATCAATCTTAACATTTTATCAAGACAATGGCTTCTGTCTCAGAAAAAGAACGGTTGCATTATTCTGCTACGTTAATATGTAACATATATGTTAAACAAATAGTGCTTTTATGTGCATTAGTTTTGTACTCAGCTTAGACTGTTCACATGACGGGAGGCTGTGGGGTTTATTTACTAAACCAACGTTGTGAAAAATTAATGAGGGGATTTTGGATTTCAAAAAACTTCCAAATCAGCTAATTTGGTGTCAATTTTGCATCTACTACTTCACTGTTTAAAGGAATACTCCATTGGTGAACAAGCTATTTAGTAAATAAATCCATAATGAATCTAGTCATGCATTTAATTCTGCTTTTTTTTCCCTCTGGGGGTAAATCTAAAAAAACGCTCCAGTCCAAAATAAAGATTGTAAAAAAAACACACACAAAAAAAACGCCAGTCAAAGGCTTTAGAAGATATCTAATCTAAAAACTGTATCCTCCAATCAGAGGCTTTTCATCGAGAAGCTTTTGTGCTGGAGCCGTGAAAAATAGGTCATTGAGAAACCTTAGCTCAGCACGCCAACCACTTCCGTAAGTTCCGGGGAGCTAAAGGATATGGAAGAAAACCTCTAGTGTTTCTGCCTTCAATTATTAAAGTTAAGATTTTTAACGAAATCTGCACTTTTATAGACTGTCATGTGAAGAACTTCAGCAAGCGTGTGTCGTGACCCTTTAATGAATGTATGGTTATTTAGTAAAGTATTTGTTGATTGTCTGGAAATACCAAATTAATTAAAAAATATTAGGCCAATATAGCCTGATTTGAAAAAACTATGGTTTTTTTAGATTCATTATTTTTTAAAAATATATGTTTTCAGATTGGAATACTCTTTGAATGCACTTTGTATTTCTGACCATACACGTTTATTATTTATTTATTAATTGGAAATCTTCATGTTTTAGTGAGTAACCCAGCTTGTGTTTTTTTTGTGATTCGGTCGGGTTACACATAATTCCTAGAGAGTTCAATAGTGATACCTACACAGGCTGATCAAGTATTCTACCATAATAGATATAGCAATTATCTATAGTAAAAGGAAACCTCAATCCTGATACCCTATGTTTATCACAAAGAACCTGGAAAATTAACAAAACTAGGCACGCATATTGGCTTATTAATCTAGAAAAACACTGCCCGGGGGCACTGGTTGTTCTGATTTAACATGCATAAGTTCTGCCTAGCTTGTTTTCAATAGAGCTGTATATTTATCTAAGACATCCAGAGAGGTCAAAATAAAACATTTTTAAAATACCTTTATACTGTAATCTATTTCCTTGGGAAGATGGAACCAGATTTACAATATTTGCTCAGAAACGGAATATTCCTGTAGATAAGAACATGCCTGTTCTAACCAGTCTAAATTTTCCTACCTTCTAGAAAATATCAGCCAGTGCCAGATTTGCAGAAGTGTTTATCTGAATAGCCTGATCCATGATGCCTATCAGAGTCTTTTAGAATGAGTAAATCTTTACTGGATGAGCTTCCTAGCCCTGATTTTTTTTCAAACTGCTTTTTTCACCTATCATGTGACGCTGCTCATTAAATAATTTTTTAAATTGGTGAATTTGACAACTAAACTGCCGCTGATTAGTTTACTATCGCAAAAAAAAAAACAGATTTACTTACAATCTTACTGATTGACAGAGTTTTGGGAGTAGAATACATCGAACAAAACCCAAGTGAAAGGGCACAAAGTGGTTATAGTTACCATACACTTTTAAATACACTGTTTAAAGTTATAATAATTCTATAAAAGAAACAAATGCAAAACATTATCCTGCTTAATGCAGGAAAATTCCAGCTCCCATGTAGGAGGTGACCAGGTCTGGTGGACACCTAGTAAATTGCCAGACTATTAATAAATAGTTTGACTATTACATTGGAGATGTGTCCGGCCACTCCTTGCACCATAACCACTAGTGTATAATAGTGTCCTTATTTAGGAGGGAGAGTCTCTATTTTGGGTCCATATCCCTCTGTCCTTATTTTCTGTCCTAATCTCCCTCTTTTCTAGGAGCTCCATATTGTTGGTGCGACTGAGTGTATAGCAGAGCTCCACAGCAATAATACTCCCAGTAATGTGTCTTAGATTACAGTCGCACCATAATGAGACAGTTGAGCAATGTTACTTTTTTATTTTTTTTATATAAATTCTTTATTTTTGTTGTGCAAAAAGGTTTACAAACAGGCCTGCAGTGCCATGATAGCAGTGACAGGCAAATCAAGGCATTCAGTATCATGACATAGGATTAAACTGCACAATTTTAAATAAGTAAACAGGGTAATGTAGGTCTTGGCAGAAGATAAGCAGGTATGAGTGGTACTAATCAGATATATAAACTGGTATTTTTGGTATTTAAAATAGAATAGTAATATAATAAGATAATAATAGCATGCTTCACAGGTATAACCAGCTTCTGATTTATATGTTAGCATGGGATTGTAGATAAACGGGTAATCGTGCAGGCAATTTGCACATGTATCAACAAGGGAAGCATGTTGGAAAGGTATGAGCATTAATGTTAGGTCACAACCCGTGTAGCTGCTGGTCAAGGTTGCCCCTTGTATCGGTAAATAGGGCAAAAAACTGAAATATGCTATTATGCCACTGGGTTGGGACAAAAATACAGAAACCATAGGAAACAGATAATACTTGGTAAGACAATGTGCAAGGAATTTAAAAGGGAAATAATAAAATAATCTAAGAAACAGTAGTACAATTGTGTTAACAGATTCATTGCATAGCTTTAGCTGGTTCGTGACCTCTAGCTGTCTGAGCGCTTGTTGTGTTATGGGAGCTGTGAGTCAGGAAAAAACATTATTTAGTGCAATAATTCCTGGCGCTGACCGTGAGCTGTATCTCTGGTACCCGCTATATACATTTAGGGTTAAGGTGTGTCACTGGGCGTTTTGCATCTTAGTAGCTACTAGATCCTAATGGAGAGATCTGATTGGGCTCTGTGGTGTTCTTTGGGGCCATGAAGACCCTGGATGGTGAGGAGTGGGCTCTGTAGCGTGTAGTAGTTTTGAGTAGCTGCCCTGTAAATAGTGTGTCACTTTAGTGTTAGGATTGTTAGGAGCCTATATGTGCTTGAGTGGGCATCTAGTAGTGCGTGAGTTAGCCGGTGTGCGATCGTTGACCGCACTGAATTTGGAAAATAGGCTCTTCTTGGTGTTCCCCTAACTATGGGGGATGCACGTGGGGGGGAGGGGGTGTCGTGGGCTCCCTTACTCGCGTGGTTATGGGTTGTAACTCCCCTCCTGTCTTTCCTGACTCGAGAAAACTCTGTAAGTGAGGCAGGCATTGGTAAACGTATCAAACAGGAATAAAAACTTGTAACAAAATAATTGAACCAAAACGTGAGGATGCGGCCCTTGGTTGTTTGTGTGAGCCATATCCAGGTAATCAGTCATGCCCCATTCCGTGGTTCCTGTTGGCGTCGCGGGGTGAAGGGGACTACGGAGGTCGGGTCGTCAGGAGGTGCGGATAGTCCCAGTTTCCCAAATAGGGCTGGAGCTTCCTCTGCCGAGGATAAAGTGTGAGCTGTCCCGTTGTGGAACACGCTGAGCGATCGTGGTGGCGTCCAACGGTAGGCTATTCCAGCATTCCTGAGCCGGCTTGTCACTGGGAGCATTGTGCGCCTCCACTGTAAGGTGGACCGTGATAGGATGTGTCTTAGATTACAATAAATGTGTTTAGCAATCATTCTGTGTAAATAAGTTAAATTGTTCTTGCTCTAAATTATAATTAATTTTGTAATTAGTTTAATAAATTAGTAGTAAGTTACCAAGAATTTCTCAGAACAGCCCCGTCCAGGGGCATACCTAGAGCATTTGGCACCCGGGGCGGATCCTGGGCTTGGCACCACCTCACCCTTCCACCCTCCCCAAAAAAACCTGTAACATTTTTTAAATGTTTTCCTTTTTTTTATGTATTGAACAAATTTGGAAACTTTGCAAAACCGCTGTCAGCCCCCTTCTACAAATCCCTTGTGTGCCCCGCCCCCTTCTACAAAACCCCTGTCCCGCCCCCTTTTACAAATCCTGTACTGCCCCCCGTCTACAAAACCCCTGCAACCCCTTCCACAAATCCCCTTATAAAGACTCCTGTCCCAATACAAAACCCCTGCCCCCTTCTACAAAATCCCTGCAGCCCCACACACATTTACAGGCAGACAGTCACACACACAGTTACAGGCAGACAGTCATGCACACAGTTACAGGCAAACATCACATATACATTCACACACACACGGTCACAGGCAGACAGTCACACACTCAAAGTAAAAGGCAGCAGCAAACAGTCACATGCACACAGTCACAGACAGATAGTCACATACGGTTACAGGCAACATCAAACAGCCACAGGCAGACAGTCACACATACATAGTCACATGCAGACAGTCACACAGTCACAAACACAATTATAGGCAGACAGTTACACACACAGTCAGTTACAGGTAGACCCCCGCCCCTAACCATACCTCCACTCACACCCCTAACGTTAAAGTGCCTCTCTTTGTTCATCTGAAATGTTGAGAAGTATGCAACGGGTTATGGTGCTCTATCTCTTTTATAAATGTATTTTTCTTTCCCACCTCTTTACTCATCTCTAGTTTCTAACCTCCACCTTTTGTACAGTTGTATTTGTCAACTCACATCATGGCATCCTTTCTATTTTTCTGGTCTACCTTCTAAATTAGATTTTAACTACATTGTCTAAATGGCTGAGGGTGCAAATATGCAATACCTTTTCATTCTGTCCATCATACTCTGTCTTTTTTTCTTTTTAACTACATAACTTATTCACACATCAATCATTATGATGGTCGCTTCCTGGAAAATGTGATGCTAAATCTTTATTTTGTAGCACTAGTAAATTACTTGTCATGTAAGATTGTGTTGATTTTTTTCTGTTCCGCTTTTCTCCTGTCATGTTAAAGTGGCATTCTACTTATGAGATGGGGATATCATAGTAATTTCCTCTTTGAGAAGCAAGGTAATCCAAAAGAGAGAAACCCCACAAAGGAGTTTATTCACCAAGTTTTGAATTATTTGAGATTGACAAGGGATTTGCAAATATCAGCCAAAATAACCAAATTGGAAATATTGTCCAACTCAGCTGGTTTGTCCCACTCATAGTTATTTACTAAAGTGAGAATTCAAAGCGAATTTCTAATTGAAAGAAAGAGTAGCAGAACTGAAAGCATAACTGATATAGACTTCCAATTCCAGTTGACCTATTTTGATCTTAAAAGGACACTGCAGGCACCTAAACAACTTTAGCTTAATGAAGCAGTTTTGGTGTATAGACCATACCCCTGCAGTCTCACTGCTCAATTCTCTGCCATTTAGGAGTTACGTCACTTTGTTTATTGAGCCCTAGTCACACCTCCCTGCATGTAACGTTCTTCATAAACACTTCCTGAATAGATCGATCTAATGTTTATACTTGCTTTATTGCAAATTCTGTTTCATTCAGAATTTCTTATTTCCTGCTCTGTTCATAGCCTGCTAAACCTTGCAGGAGCTGCCTATGTGGTGATTAAAGTTAACACCGCAGGGGATAAAAACGTATAAACTAAGTTAACAACTCTTTGAAACTCAAACCATTTTTGTTTTTCATGCAGGCTGTGTGAGTCACAGCCAGGGGAGGTGTACTTAGGGCTGCATAAACAGAAACATAGGTGACAACTCCTAAAAGACAGATAATTGAGCAGTGAGACTGCAGAGACATGATCTATACAACAAAACTGCTTGAGTAAGCTAAAGTTGTTGTGATACCTATAACATCCCCTTAAATTTGGAAAATCACTGTGAATTCACTTTGGATTCTCAGTTTAGTAAATAACCAAATGTATGTACATGTACTCCAAAGAATTTTCTCTTAATGACAGGACACTATGATCAGTGTTTGCACCTCGATGTGAACATTATCCATATTAGGAAATATCCATGAGTGTGCCATGTAGGGTAATGCTCACCATTATTTAATAATAATGTGAGTAACAAGCATATTTAAAAACTGGTGTTTTATTCTCTAGCTTGTGAATTGTAAACAAAATAGTAAATTGTAAGGCAAAATAGTTGTAAATTGGTGGCAGTGGAGAATTTTTCTATTGACCCACAATTCCAGTTCATCTGAAATCACCCCCAGGTGTGAGCTGGGTGCATTGTGTAACGAAGAATATATGTTCTCATTATTCTAGGAATACGTTATGAAGTTATGTGTGTATCCTTAGCATTGTGTGAAGTTGAGTATTTAGCATTTAGAATTGTATGAAGTATCAAGTGTCAGTTGAATTGGTTCAATCCAGGTTACAGCGAGGAAAAATAGAAAGCCTCCATTATCCTAATCTGTTTCCTTTAAAGTGTTACTGTTGTTAACCCCTTCATGACCAATATCATATCAGGACTTTTCTAATCCTGACCCTGCAGGGATTGACCTCATGGTAAGATAGGTTACCCGGCTTAATGTACATGTTGCATGTTGCCCAGGTGCTGACAAATATTAATAGTTGCTGTAGGGAGAACCTGCACGAACGAGTTCTTACCTCGGCATCTGTTTCCAGAGGGAATATGGAGTGCTGAAATGTGGTAAGCATGTTTCGAGAACTGCGAATACTTGAGTGCTTTCCTTTGGGACGTATTTCATTTTATCATATGTGGTATCAGCAGTTGGAGAGCACTATTTGGCTGAATGCGTCGAACTAGGGTGTCAGCACGGTGTAAAAAGCAGGGGGTGTGAGGGATTTTCTCCATCAGATAATCTAGGAGGAGATGAGAATGGTTCAATCCCCACAATGATATTGTTGAAGCCTTTTATGTGATATATTTCACCGTTAAAAGGGGATGATAAAGCACAACGTATTTTAAGTGGCTCTGTCACAGCTGAGTATGTTGTTAAGGTATAATTTTGTGACATTCCAATGCAGTCCAAAGATATCATAAAACAAAGTTTTGTCTTATGGGCTAGAGTGAGGTTGACATGAATTGACAAAAGGCAGTGCTTCACCATTAACTTTTGTCAAATCCTAGCAGCTGTCACTGTGGGAATAAGATATTGTTTTGCCCATTGCGTGACGTTATCTATGAAGGTCCCTGAGGTCATGCGGGATCCTCCATAGTGTGGTATTCTTTTGCATTGAGTAAAGTGACACAACATGGCTCTGGCCACATGAACTACCAGCAGCTGAAGAAGGTGCTCTGTAAACTATAGGACAGTTTTAACTAAGTATATCTACTTTCCACTCCTCTATTATGCCACTGCATCATAAAAGGGACTGTCACCTTCAAGCGTCTTTGCAAAATATGTTTGAGGAGGTTTTTTTGTTTTTTTTTATCGCCGCATAGATTTTATAACAATTGCATTTCAACAAAAACATGCAAAAAAATATCAGTGGAAAAACTTTGTGGTTTGATATATGTTCTGTAACGAGTGCTTGGGTTTCTTATGAAAGACTGTCCTCAGATTTTCTTTAGTTCTTTTGCCGATAGTTATCAGGTTCACCAAATTTTCTGGACACACATCACTACCTCATGTTGACACAGTGCTCATAATGGGTTCTCTGGTACAGTGTACAAATGATATAATGGAGGATTTCTCCACTGCACATTCCGACAATTCCCTCGTTTCCCCTCCCCAGAAACTAGACACCAGGGAGAAAAAATTTTGGATGGCAGGACAGGACCCAAAGTTTGGGACAGTCCTATCAGATTCTGGACATTTGGATGGTATGGTTTTGGCTTCAGCTGTCCTTGTGCCAGCCATAGTGCTCCATTTAAAGTAAAGGTTTGTTGATACAGTACCTACTGTAGTTTATCGTATGGGTAAAGTGTAAGCAGAAGATATGACACATCAGAGGAGTTTGGTTTTAAGTGGCCGCAGAAACCATAGTTTTTGCCAAACTGCTCATAAATAATTTTTCAGAAATCTGGGGGACAGCACCCGTAGCCTCTCCACTAGAAGCACAACAATGAACTATAGTGGTTATGATGTCATGCATGTCTCTATAAACTTGGAACAACTCACTAGATTGATTAGGGAATGTAGGTGTGGCCTGGGAGAGGCTAACATGTTACTTTTATAGCATCTTCTGAAAGCTATAAATCACAGATTTTCTGTACGTATGTTATTTTCAAAGTCTCATTCTGTTTTCCCCATCCCTTCCCATTTCTGGCGTGCTACTTAGTACATTATTTACTAAACAACAGTGAATTAACAAGGGATTTCAAAATGTATGCCAGATATCCAAGAAATAAAAATGTTGATTTGTGTCCAACTCAACCTGTTTTTTAACTATACCTGTTTTTTTAAGCCATAGTATAGATCAGAATGTGGCAGTGGATGTGATCAGATTGGATTTTGTTAAGGCGTTCCATATGGTTCCACTCAAAAGGGTACTGTACAAATTAAAATGAATTGGTTTAGGTGAACATTCTTGTGCTTGGATCATTACATTTTGACTTAAAGATAAAGTGCAGAGAGTAGTTATGAATGGAACATTTTAAGATAAAAAAGGATAGCATACGGTGCATGTGTTCCTGGTCCACTTCTATTCAACCTGTTTATTAATAATCTTGCAATAGACATTAAAAGTCATGAGTGAATGTCAAAACTTTGCCAGGTAATATAAGGTGAGCAAAATATTGCTTCCCCGCACTGGATTTTTTTTTTTTTTTTTTTAATTCTTTATTTATTCCAAGACAGGTCATCCGATACATAGCACATACAATGAGATCAAGGCATGTAGACATAGGCATAAACTCTGTGCTTTTTAGCTTTTCACGTTATCATCATGAATTCACATTCTAGTTTGTATATAGTACATAATTTGCAATGGTGGAGTACGCTTTGCCTGATTTTCCCCAGGTGGTGATTCACAACTTTAATTATAACCAGACTTCCTGCTTGGTCTTTTATGGTAAATAAAACATGTAACAACTGTGCAGTTGTGTCACGGCCCCCGGCACGCCGCCATGTGCGCCCGTGCCCGACCAGCACGCGCCGGGAACCGTTCCTCCACGCCGCTTGGGGAAATCCATGATGGTGAGAATAGTCAGGAGGAAGCCGAGATATATCAAAGTAGCCACAGAAATACAATGCACTCTTGGGAACTGTAAACAGGAACCACAACAGGGCAATGATCCATACCATGAATGTCCTTTTTATATCTTATGCCTTTAATTGATAGCCACGCCCCCAAAATCTTTGAATTTGATCGATTTGGTGGGTAGCGACGTCATCGGCGTCATGATGTCGGCACATTTGTGCTGCATCATAAAAGGGGTGGAGTTACAGCGGCAGGCATAGGAATCGTTGGAGTCATGAGCGGGACTGTGGGAAGGGTACCTCTCCCCTTCCTGGACCTCCCAAGGCTGTTTAAGAGCCTAGGCAACACAAGGTACCATGACAAGCCCTCAATGACATCTAACTTCTCATATTGTACTTACTTGTTTATTTGTCCATTGATACTACAGCCCCATGTAATATGTGGGCACTTTACAAATAATAATTTGGATAAATTAGGGGACTTGGCAGCCAATTTATACCCTAAATTGTAATGAGCAATGGGAAACAATAAATTAGAAGGACTTAGAATAGTTAAAGACAGCAGATTAAGTAACAGTCTGCAATGTCAGCATTTGCTTAGGCCTGTAAGGTATAATCATGCATAGTAACAGGTAATTCACAGGACAAAAATAAAATGTTGTCTGTTTATAAATCAATGATTTACGATATATGCTAAATTATATAATCATTTAGCATATATTATATTGCAATTAATGAATCACATAAGGAGCGAATTTTGAAATTTAAGAATAGGCTGGCAAGCAAAAGCCCTATAACTGAAGTGTTTTAGGGATTAATAGAATGTCCCCTCTGTCCCCTCTGTCTTACTTTATAAAAGTTCCTATTTCAAGAGAAATCAGACACCTTCCTGTCAACAGTCAGCTGGAAGGCTACTTTTCCTTAATTCATTTGAGTGCTGAAGGCCACTGCTGATGGTCATTGGATTCTATGTTTCTCTGTGAGAAACGTACATGTGCTGTAGGACCCGTGTGCTTCTCAATGAGAAGCAGCGGGTTGGCATAGCAGCTCCACACTAGTGTTCCTTTTAAAAAGTTAATATACTGCATGTCCCATACATATATACCACTATGGGCTTCTAACACAATGTACCAAGTCTTGTCCAGCGAAGAAGTCCTTCCATTGCTCATTGCCAAGATAACACTGTCCATTCCATCTACTTCCCCACAGCACAACTATAAACTTTCTTACACATACATTGTAGGCGTCTCCCTAAGGTAACACTGTCAATGTTACTAAGAAAAACTGTTCCTCACTGTCATTCCATACAATGAATGCAAATGGATTTCTCAAATCCTTATCCTAGTCTAGTGGTATTTAAAAACCCGGTGTGCCCTATGCCCTGAAGCCAGGGACAGCCCAGCAGAAGCTGCTTATCATTCCTCAAATTCTACAAGTTCACCTTTGGATTCCCAGATGTTATGATCAATGAGTTTCTCTTGACTCAGAAATAACATGTCTGACCCTTGCATAGCTGCAATCGTAATATCTGAGTCTTTATTTTGCTATGATATGAACAGGGATCTATTAATAGCCTTGTGCTGTTCTGTGCTAGAATGTATCTGCTACAAAATTAACTTCCATATCAAAGAGAATTAATGTGCTAAACACGCTCTATGTCAATTACAGGATTAATAACTGAATAGTTAAATTATACTACCCTGTTATCATGTCATATCTTTGTAAAGCATATATATTTAATATCACCATGAATGAGAGATTTGTCATAGTTTCAACTTCACACAAGCGTTCCATCTTTTAAAGGGACAGCTCTGATCTCAGAAAGTGGAGTATGTATAAGTATATCACAGAGATTCACAGCAATAAAATAAATACATTGCAAATGTCAAAAAAATTTAGAGTTTGGCATTGCAGTTCAGCGTTTAGTGAATAAATTACTTAATTTTAACAAATTAAATTTGAATTACCAAGTTATGGCTTAAATAGCTAATATGGAAAAAAAAAATTCCAATTCAACTATTACAGTTGATTTGTTTCAAACTACATAACCAGTTACATACATTTATATAGAGGTCATCATTAAAAAAAAAATTCCATAACTCCAGCCATGCCTTTTCCAACAAATACTTTCCTTTTCGGCTATTAGAAAATGTTAAGAGGTATGCTGTGAGAATATCATTTTTATCATAAATTATGACCCTGATGCAGAAAAACTTGGCTCAACTTCATCTTATTTCCTAAACATTTTATTGATAACGTCAGCCTTGATTTAATTCTGTCTTTACCCTACAGAGATAAGAGTGATCTTTGGAGAGGCACATCCCTTGTGCACAGTACACATAACACAAGACACTGGGAAATATTATTTAGCTATAATTGTCAGTCAAAAGTTTAATTTCTTTGAAACATAAGCTGAAAATATCCTGAGGGGACAGTAATTTATGTACGAGAAGTGCGACAGTGGCAGGTTGTCAGTCTTATTCAGTGGTTGCTAAACAGTGGGATTTAATTCAACCAATGTAAAAGAAAAAACAGGAAAATATACATTTATAATTTATAACTTTATCAACTTGTAAGTAACCCTTTCAGCGCTAGAGTGCAACTGTATAGTACAACTGTGTGACTCAAAAACTTATATTACACTATATTCCCTTTGCTTCTTAAAGGATGACTATAGGGTCAGGAACACAAACACAAAAATGTATTCCTGACCCTATAGGGTTAAAACCACCATCTAGCCCCCCTGTGCCCCTCATGCCTCCATAAACATAGCAAAATCTTACTGTATTCAAGCCAGAAGCTGTAACTCTGCATGCTGTTTGCCTAACAAAAAACAAGCAGTCTGCTGACATCATCAGAAATGGTAGCCTGATCCAATAACAATGCTTCCCCATAGGATTGGCTAAGACTGACAAAGAGGCAGATCAGGGGCACAGCCAGCATGATTCAAACACAGCCCTGGCCAATCAGCATCTCCTCATAGAGATGAATTGAATCAATGAATCTCTATGAGGAAAGTTCAGTGTCTGCATGCAGAGGGAGGAGATACTGAATGTTTGGATGCATTTTAGGCAGCCATGACCCAGGAAGGATCTCTAACAGCCATCTGAGGAGTGGCCAGTGAAGTTATCACTAGGCTGTAATGTAAACACTGCATTTTCTCTGAAAAGACAGTGTTTACAGCAAAAAGCCTGAAGGTAATAATTCTACTCACCAGGACAAATGCAATAATCTGTAGTTGTTCTGGTGACTATAGTGTCCCTTTAAATAAATGCACTGTCCACTTCAGTGTAGTTCATTGAAAGCATAGCTGACTGGGAGAATTCTTCCAGTTCAGCTATTTTTATCTTACATTTGGAAAGCACTTTGAATCCTCACTTTAGTTAATAACACTGACAGTCTTTTCTCATGATTCCTTGTTTTCATATTTCATCAGATATCATTTTTGTTGCAGGACCAATTTTACATCTTATGTCGAAGATGAAGCTTATTCTTTTCACTGTTTTGGTAGTCTGTGTATGGATGACAGAAAGAGTTTCATGTCAAAAATCCCGTACCCGACGTGAACTGGCCCCAGGACTTCACACTCGTGGAATAAGAGATGCTGGTGGCTCCTACTGTGAGAAGCACAATGCCTGTTGCCCAGAGAGAAATGATGGCTGCACTGTACCATATTTGGATACAATTTGTTATTGTGACCTTTTCTGCAACAGAACTGTATCTGACTGCTGTCCAGACTTCTGGGAATTTTGCTTGGGAATCAGCCCACCAAACATTGTAGTTAAAGGTAATTGATCTATCTTGGAGGGTGATTATAGTGATAATGTTAGTGTTCATGAAGTGCCTTTGCTTATGCCAACAAAATGTAAAGGGACACTATAGTCACCAGAACAACTACAACTTATTGTATTTGTTCTGCTGATATAATCATTCCCTTCAGGCTTTTTGCAGTAAACACTTTCTTTTTAGAGAAAATGCAGTGTTTACATCACAGCCTAGTGATAGCTTCACTGGCCACTCCTCACATGGATACTAGAGGTGCTTTCTGGGCAGCACTGCCATTCAGTGTATCCACCCTCTGCATGCAGACACCGAACTTTCCTCATAGAGGTGCATTGATTCAATTGATCTCTATGATGAGATGCTGATTGCCCAGGTTTGTGTTTAGCTTGTGCTGACTCTGCCCTTGATCTGCCTCCTTGACAGTCTCAGCCAATCCTATGGGGAAGCACTGTGATTGGCTCAGATAATCACTTCTGATGATATCACCCAAGCAGGCAGATCAGGGGCAGAGCCATCAGCTGCAGACTTGAACAAAAGTTATATTTTACAAAATTTAGGGGGCAAGTGGGGAGCAGAGGGGCTAGATGGTGGTTTGAAAACTATACATGTTACATACATGTTTGTGTTCCTGATCCTATAGTGTTCCTTTAAGTACTCTAAATGATAGATTATATTTTATGAAATATACATTGCTCCAAAATAAAGTGATATTGGTAGAATTCACATACTAATTAATGTTCTAAATGTTAAAGAATAGTCTGAATGTGTTCACTATAATGAGAATTGTCAAAAATGCTAAATTAATTCAAAGTGAATTTTAAAATTTTGGACCAAAATGGCCGAACTGCAAAAAGTTAGTTATGCTTCCAGTTTGGCTATCTATGTCTTAAATTTGAATTTCACTTTGATTTCCTGACAATTATCATTTTAATGAATAGCCCTTAGAATATTCCAAAGAGAGTTATATTTTTAAAACAGTTAACTGAGGACTAACATGAACTACAACCTGCAATAGAGAGAGCTGCTACATTATTCTATTTAACATAATGTTTAAGTAGAGCAAGACACAGTGCCATAATAATTACAGTGTGTTAATGCATCAGCAATTTATGCAGTACTACTGATTAATGAGACTGTACCCTCGCCCCTTCATGGGAAGACATAGTGCACAATACAGGGTTAACTCTCCCAAAGAGAAATATCTTCACAGTTTGCATGTTTTATCATCAAGCCTTATTTTCAAAGCTGTGAGACATTTTATGGACCATAATTAATCAGCGACAAAGAGAATCTGCGACAAAGAGTCTTTGCTAATCATAGTGCTTGGTGTTTATTTCGAGAAAATAGCAAGCATGACCCATATTTTAATGTGTATATATTCACTTGAGTCTACTATTTATTTGTTGTGCTGTGTGTATAAGTAACCCTCTGCTTGCAAATAATTTTGAAAAAATGCTATCTCTTGAGCAATCTATACTAGAAGAAATTCTCTATAAAACCTTTTTTTTTTTAATATAATTTATATAAAGACATATGCTGTGATCCATGCCACAGACGTATACCATATATGTGAAGGTTTCCTGATTTGGTAGATGAAAGCGTTGTGTTTTTGATATAATACAGCTATTTATAAAGAATACTTAGTTGAGATGACAATTTTTAAGACCTAAAACTGGTACTGACTTTAAGGCGTTTTAGATGCGCTTTTCATAAAAGTTATCTGTCTGCCTTTTTATGTGAGTGTAATCACTTATTTTAATGACAAAGTCACTTAAAAATGTTAAGATAAATTATTTATTATTAATTGTGGGTAAACAGATAGCATCCACTTAGAGACACCATACAAATAGTAGATACATACCGTAAGCAGTACGTACTATTTCTCTCAATGGGCAGCCAGTGATAGGCTGAGGATTTATGTTGACACTATCACCAACTGCCTAGCAAAACCTTCCTTATTCTGAGGATTGAGAAAGATAGCCAGGTGGTAGCAGTGTTGGGTGCCAAAGGACCATCTTCAAGGTTAAACCATTGGTGCGCATAGGATGGCTCCTGGACACTTTTGCCCCCATAACAACTTAAATGAGCTGAAATTGCTAAAGGGGTTATAGTGTTCTTTTTTTTAATCTGTATGTGTCACCCCAGGAGTAACTTCAGGGCAGTTATATATATAAACATGTCAACTTTTAAGATCAAAATAAACAATAATATCTTCTGGCACACACTCCAGTCTTCAATAATTTTTAAGAAGGGTTTAGGCATAAACTCAGCCAGGAAACTTCTCTGCCCTCTACTGGCTCTGACTTTTTGAATAGCACCCTTCAGCCAGAATCTCTTGTAAAAATCAAAGGTGTGTTTACAATATATTTATGGCAGTGATTTGCTGTCAATTTTATTTTTATGATTGCTTTAACAGCCTAAAAGCTATATTATGAATGCAATTTTCCTAATGTCAAAAATAGTGAAGAAAAACATTTGTTGAAGGAAAGGCATTATCACGCATTCACCAACTAGCTAAAACTATATTTTGTACAGTTATGAAACACTATTAATAAAATGCTACTAGCGCCACAAAGAAGTGTTTTTGCGTACTTCGTTAGAATATCCCTCCCATTATCCAGTGCTCCGAGTCCTACTGATCCTCTCAATGTTTACATCTCGTCTTTCAGCTTGTACTAGAGATGGCCAGCATTTTCCAAAGGGGGCAACCTACCAAGACAACTGCAATTTGTGGTAAGTACTGCCGTTTGTCCATATCGCTGTATTTGCTGCCTTTCCTCACACCACAGACTTGCCTCCTGGGTATATAGAGAATGTATCAGCCATTTTCTAGGGCATGGCCCTGGCATTCTGAAGAGGCTGAGATCATTCTTGATCAGGAATGTTGGCAAATGGACAAAAAGAGATGAATGTAAATATTTGTCAAGCTCAGGAAGGACCTTCCTCAGAGACATAGATAGAGCAGGGGAATTTTGTTACAAAGTTACCAAAAATAATAAAACATTTCTTAAGGCATTTCCTACAGCACATCAGGGAATTGCACTAATTTAGTAAGTGATCTAAACGCTTACATGTCCAACATGGCCTTACAAGGCTCTGAGAGAATCTTCTTCAATCAAATTATATGGAACTAAGGCCATAGTGATGTCAGATTTAATTGCATGGCTGACTGAGAAAGCATTGCTTTTCCTCGAGGTCTATTCACTTGACAGTAAGATGACAGCTGCCTTATAAAAATTACACCAAAATGGCAGATTCTGTAAAAATACTCTGAATTTGTTCAAAGAGTAAAGAGCTTACTTTTAAAGTGAATGTAATATAAGATTATTCTTTATGTCAGGAATATTGGGGACCTGAAAAGAAGCCTGAAAATGTGAAATAGCAGAGCTGCAAAAAAAAGAATATGTTTGGCTGATATAGCTATTTGGCCTAAAATATGACAGCCCCTTTTAAGTGTTCTGCTATTTTTAGTAAACACACCCTGGACTCGTCTGTTGCTTTGACTTTTATTGATCGTATGAACTATAGAATATAGAAAGTAAGTTAGGTGGAACAGGAATTTGTATTACTTAAAGGGACACTGTAGGCACCCAGACCACTTCAGCTCATTGAAGTGGTCTGGGTGCAATGTCTCATGTCCCTTAACCCTGCAATGCTAGTTATTGCAGTTATTGACAAACTGCAATAAATACTATTCAGGGTTAACTCCACCTCTAGTGGCTGTTTACCAGACATCCACTAGAGGGACGTCATAGTTTGAAACGGACCTTTGGTCTGGTATCTGACGTTGGACGTCCTCACGCTCTGCATGAGGACCTCCAGCGCCAGATTATTTCCTAATAGGAAAGCATTGAATAATGCTTTTCTATGGGGAAATCCTAATGTGAGAAAGGGCCATGACCCAGCTCCAATGGATATCTGTGCTGGATTCAGGTAAGCGACTGAAGGGGTTTTAACCCCTTAAGCACACTGGGAGGGAGGGGGCCACTGTAGGATTCTACAGTGCCAGGAAAACGGCTTTCCTTTAAGACTAAAGTTATGGGAGAGTTCTGTAATGTTTAATACCTTCTATGCATGTTCTATGGATTGATGGGAAAGAAAACACAAAATGAAAAAGTTCTCAAGCTAATTCTTAGCTAAACATAGACTCTCAGTTCAGTGCCTTAAAAGGAAGCTAAAGTTCTAAAAACAAAAGTGAGGAACAGCTCATAATCCGTGATCCCTGCAGCTCGTCTTCTATGGAAACTCAATGTTTGATTTACTGTACACAAGAAAATCCATAATGTAATGTTATCTACTACGTGCAGAGTCCCTGCTCAATGTACTCTGTAATATTCTATGCTGTGTGCAGTCAAAAACTGTGATCCGTTGCTGTGGTGTGATGTATGCTGTTTGCTATGTGCAGAAATGCAGTTTGCACACTGTTATATATTACAATACTGATAAGTAGAATATTATCTTATAATGCTAAGCTTGCTTTACGCTCTAATGTACTATATTAGATTAACTGCTTTTTAATTTATTATAAAAAGTAATGCTTTAAAACTGAAAAATAAATGAAAATAAAAACTCAGGTGTAAGTTTCACATAATTGTGCAAGTGCCATGCAACGCAAATCTCCGCTCCCATATTCACAATTAAATAGTTTAGTTACTAACACAACAAGAAATTTTCTTTTTTGAGAATTGTGAAGAATATATAGTGGCATGGACAACTCAGTCTTTAAATTTTTCCTTGGTCAATAAATCAGTTAGATAATAATAAAATCAATTCCCCAGGAGGAACTCTTCGATAAATAATTTTGAATTGGTTAAAAACTTAATATTGATATACACATCTTATTCTAATGTGCTGGGCCATTTCTGCACTATAATGCACTTTGCTCCAACAAAAACTGGGTAAGTTGTGCTTTAATAAAGGGTCCGGCTTGCTACTAGCCATAGGTTTACTAATGACCTGTACATAACTTCTGTATAAAATATAAAGAAACACACCTGGTTTATTCATTAAACATCAAATTGTAGTGAACTAAAAAACTATTTTCTAAACCTCCAAATTGGTTATAGTCACATCTTTTAGTCTGAATTTTGCAATTTGGATTTAATTTCAATGCTATTTACTGTTTAGTGAATAACTCCCTCTATGAAGACGTATTCGCATTGTTGTCTTGGCAGTTTATGCGCACATTGCAGTTGTGTCAGAATATATCTGTGCATTCCGTGTGTCCCATTAATAATGGGAATATAGTGGCCCATCCTGCCTACAAATAATCAGACCCCAGAGAATTCTGCACAGAAACCTTTCCTGTCACCATCAGCTGTACCTCCTCCAAAATCATGCGGCTCAGCAAAAATACTAAATAAAGAAATGGGTAATGATTTGGAAATCTACTGTAAGGAAAATAAATGTCATATTAATAGTGAAATTAAATTCCCTGCAAAACCTGTAATGATACTGTTATCCTCGATACAAATTATATGGTCATGCTATAAATCCTGTTTTATCAAATGTAAATCTGGAAAGTGGGTAGAGGTTTTGTCCACTGACTTAATATTATTATGATCATTTGGACCAACCATTTTTATACATAGGGGTCTGTAGTAATTACCACTTCATTATTCCCAAAACTACAGCAGCCATTAAGTTGAGTGGTTTGCTGGACTGTCCCCTTCTCCCCACTTTTCAGTTAATTGGGTCCAGTGTGCCCAAGGAAAGGCCATATTTAGCTAGAATTTTCCACTACAAACTGAATTGTTGCACTAATGTTAAAATGGCAGTTATTGGCTGAATGCGCTGGGCTAACACAGAGCTCATAGCCAATCATTGCCAACCAGGCTGGACGGAATTAACACTGACAATGCTGAAGTGTAAATTCTAAATGATCACTTCAGCTACAGGGAGGGTGGTCTCTGGATGCTGGGGAAAGTCCATGGTTTTTGCTAAACCTGTTCAAAACAGTTTGACACACTGAACTGTAGTGGCTTTGTTGTTTAAAATATCCCTTTAAATTAGAATGTTTTCTGTGAGCATTTTCACGGGATCATTTGTGCATCGCCTCTGAGATTGTATGCTGTTCATATTGAGAGGTGTAATTGAGAGCCTCGCCCGTGAACTTACATATATTTTTTTTTTTCCAGCACTTGTTCACATGCCGGAAATTGGCATTGTGAAGAAAACGCCTGTCTTATTAACCCAAGGACCATTAATGCTGTAAACAGAGGGAATTATGGGTAAGTGTGTGTGAAAGGTAGAGTGATATCCCAACACACACATATGCAATCTAATCCATATCCTTTGTGTTACAGGCTCTCTAGATTTATAATGTTACAGGCTATGCTCTCTCAATTAAATTGTATATTTCCTACAGCATTGTCAACTCCTCATACACTTTCATGTTTCACCTAGAACTGTCCACTAAAGTGTAAATTGTAGGTAATTTATAGTGAATTCAAAGCGATTTTCAAATTTGAAGCCAAAAGTTCTCAACTTAACACTTACAGGGCTACTCACTAACCTTTGAATGGAATGACTGAGGCAAAATATAGCGAAGAGATGACTTTGACTGAGTTGGGGAATTTTTGCTAATCAGCTACTTTTGCCTCAGTTATTCCATTCAGATTTAATTCAGAGCTTTCTGAATAACCCTGCTAGATTTTCAAGTTTGGATATATTGGCCTACATTTCTGAAATTGTGTCAATTTAGTAAGAAACGTTGTCTTTGTTTTTTGCTCTATTACAATGTGGTTTGTGCACTTACAGCTGGACGGCTGCAAACTACAGCAACTTCTGGGGTTTATCTCTAGACCAAGGAATACAATATCGACTGGGGACCAACAAACCCTCCCCCACAATCATGAACATGAATGAGCTACATGTAAGTGCTCAGCTTTATTTGGGGAGGGTGGGCCGAGTGATCAGAACAGGGGTAACAATTAACTAAGGTTGCAGAGAGAGAGATTTAAATTTATTGTAGTACAATAGATGGTGGGAGGCGGAAGAGAAACAATCAATGCAAAAAAATGTGAAGCCGATTTTATGTGTGTCTTTGTTGGTATAAAATATGCTCAGTATCGTCTATATCAAGTATATATAGTATTTATGAACAGTAGGTTTTGCATATATAGTGTAGTTAGTGAGTAAAGTTCAAAAAGCAGGTTGGTCTCCAAGAAAATCAATAATCAATGTTCTTGTGTGTTGCTCTTTACGTAGTGGGTGATTTCTGATAGTGTTTCTTACAGGAGGCAAATACGGTGGAAACCAGGAAAATTCTTAAATTTTTAGAACTTAGCTGGACTTTTATAAATCTTCCCCTTTGAGCATTTCCCCAGAATTGCTTTTTAACTCATATTCTATCGAATGTGGATATGCATAGAAAGTGTCCGGGCAGGTGCCTGACATAATAAACTACTAGAGTCTGACAGAAGTTAATGGTATATAAACAGAATACCCTTTCTCCTACCAGGGACACTGTGTGATTTTTGGCAGACCACGAGAGCAAATCACAATACAGAATAAATTAGGTATTTTTAATGTAACTTCCATTAAGGAAATCCTGCTCCACTAAGAGCGAGTTAGGGAAGGAAAGAGGGGGGGCTGTGACTGAGGACACAGAGAGACTGGAAAATTCCTTGAGTTAGGCTGGGCGAGGTCATACTGAACTTAAGGGACATAACCTGCTTACTCATCAAAATACTTTGTCCTTTTATGAGAACCTTCAAATTCTCACTAGAGTCCTTGTTTTGGCGGTAATGTGTCAAAATTAAACCGAAGCAAAGACAAAGTACTTTCTCTGGGACGGCATTGTAACAGCACTGTGGGTGGTTTATGTCCTGATTTAGAGCATTAGAAACCTTCTTTTGCTTTGGGCACAGTTTAAAAATATCTGTTTACAGGATTATTCTTAGATACAATTTAACTTATTCCAATATAAAAAGTCTGGTGCTCACATAATAGTATATGAGATATATAAAATAGCATTACATTATCCAAATAGTCTGGGGAAGCAAGTTCCCATATAGGCCATTTTCTCTCCTCGTAACCTACAGATAGTATAAGTAGCAATTTAATGGGTACAAAGTCCATGCGTTTGTTATTTATAGCATACACACTGCTAAGAATCTGTCTTTCTCTACACCTACCTGTCGTCTGTCTGTCAATGTGTCGATCGATCTATCTGTCTGTACATGTCAGTAGTTTCAACCAAATGATGTTTCAGACAGGAGACCTTAGCAAGTTAAATGTGCAAAAACATTTTTCTTATTTTATGGTTTTTGGTTTCTTCCTTTTTGCCAATTGTACATTCCGACTTCCGAGCTGAGCTATCCTGATATACTAGTTTTATGGTTCACCTCACGTGAACTCTCTTCTATCTACCATTCCTATTATTCTTAACACCTGGACTTTGCCATCTTCAGGTAAACATGAACAATGAGGTCATGCCCGTCTTTTTCAATGCTGCAGATAAGTGGCCGGGAATGATCCATGAGCCACTGGATCAAGGCAACTGTGCCGGTTCGTGGGCTTTCTCCACCGCAGGTAAGCATTCCAATTATAGAAAGTCTGCCATCGATGAAGCTGCAAGTCAGAATCTAGATACAACATAGCATAAATAGTTCAATATATATAGTGTGTGTATATTGAAAGAAGGTACATATTTCGCTCTTTAGATCACTAAGTATCGTGAATGAAGACACGTATGATAGAACTGCACCAATGAATTCCATGAATCAAGCACAGATAATGGCATAACTAAGTTTAGGGTTCACCGTGGATTGCCACTCCCAGTAGGAACTCTGCTAGAATTTACCCCCACAGAGACACATGTTAATTAAAGTAATGCAATTTTCTTTGAGTGCCATATATATATATATATATATACATATAAAAGGATATATAATATATGTTAGCCTCTAAGGGACTGTAGGATTTCACTTCCCTTTGTTGCTTTATAAACTCCTTCAGTGCATGAATTTCACACATATAGACAGGCAGTGTGTATTTAAAACATCCTGCTTATGTCATCAGTGACTAGTCCTGCCTGAAAAGAACGCAGTCCCTGTAAGTTTCCATAGGAATTCAGCCATGCTGACAAGTGAGAAGTAATGTAATTGTGCTCAGCATGCAATCTACTGCAAAGATATTCAAACACCAGGACTCCAGCTATTAATGATCTACAGCTACTATGAAACATTGCCAGTCAAAATGCTATGTGTTTTGCTGGCAAAGAATTTTGGGAGTTTTAGTTGCCCACACTCAATATCAATATACATTTCAATACGGAGATTATATTTCTAATACTTACAAATATAATAGTTTCCTGGAATGGCAGCTGCGGAACTCCAGGTACCAAAGACAATACTGTTATTCAGTAACGTGAGAATTGTTGGGACGTCCAAATGAATTCAAACGTTAGACCAAAAGAGCTGAACTGGAAGCATTAGTTAACTTGGAAAAGTTTCAACCTTAAATTTGAAATTCACTTTGAATTACTGACCTTTCTCACTGTAGTGAACATCCTTAAATGTCACCAATATAACTGCAATGTTAGCAGTTACACTAAATATGCCCAGGCAAGGCAGTACATAAGTCAGAATGTAAACATGGACTTGTTATCTGGGTCACGGCTAAGTAGCAGATAATGTGTGTCCCCATGGTGAACGCAAAATAAATTCCAAAAACAATATACAGCAGCAAAAAAGATTCCATGGGGACAGCGCGGGGCTACTAAGCGCTGTGCCTTACATAGTTAGGTTTGTTAGGACAATATGTATGCTTGCAGTCATTAACTTTAATTAATACGTGGAAGAAGAATGCTGAGTCAAATTTAGGAGTTGAGTTAAAGCACATTTTCATAATGTTTTTTACAACATGAGGATTCTGTATCTCAAACAGCCATTATGGAAACTATTTTAGAACTTTAACCTAAAATTACACTTTGCACAGAAACTTCAAAGTTACTGTAGAAGAGAATATTAATGTTTTTTTTCTGTTCATCCTAGAAAAAAGTAAATAGTAAAAATAAATATGAACATAAAAATAAATAAAAATGATCTATACATGTGTTTCAAATTATGTGTAGATTTAATGTATGTACAGCAGATAACTATACACAGTGCAAAAATAGTACACAACTGTGAATTAGTTTGCTTGTATAATGCAAAAACCGAAAAGGTTGCAAGATATAGTGAAGGGCAGACGGCATGTTTATCTTATCAGAGGAAATACTAACAAAACAATGGTGATGTACTTATAGGGTAAATAACTTAATCTTCCTTTGTGCCAGGCACTATTTTGGTAATATGATACATGAAATTATATTCTACTGTGTAGAGCCAAGTATGAAAAAAGCACTATGATGCAATAAATAGAGTACAATATTGTAAATATTGTACACCATAAACTAGACACAGACTTTGTTAGCTACCTGCTAGGTGTGAGAGGTTGGAGGCTGCCATCTACAGGCAGTTAAAGGGTGGTGCATAAACAAGCAGTTCTGGCTGTAGACAATAGACCTGGAAAATGTCTATGCATGAGTTAGAGTAAATTAGTGAAATTTTTTAAAAGTACATAGATTTCAAAATAGATACCACATGAATATTTATTTGAAATAATTCTCCTACTTCTCTACATGTGATGCACAGAAAGATTAAGAAAACTAGCACAAAGAAAATTCTGAAACAAAACTGTAAAAGTAAAACAGCCCCCACTGAGTTCTGGCTCCACTCTTGAGACCTTGCCGCAGAACTGATGTGAACTTCACATGAGTTATATGCATTGAAAACATTAAGATAATATTGAATTCTTTCTTACTTTTTCTCCCCCGCAAAGCAGAAATGTTCGCATCATTTAGGGGTCTGTCCATACGAGTGGCCGTCATGTATTCTATAAAAAATATTACCTATTAGAGATGAATAATAAATTCTGCTTGTTGTTTAAAAGCAAATAATAGTATTACCAAACACATATTTACAGCTTCTAAAGAATTAATAACAAGATGTCTTCTTGTTAAAAGCACGAGTGCAGATGTGTCGTATGAATTAATTTATTTTAAAATGTGATTCCGTAAATAGCTTGTCCTCATCGTCAGAAGTAATAGGTGACTAGGGGGCCTTAGATTTAAATCTTTTCTGGTCACCTTGTTTCTATTCTGATCACAGTAATAGTGAACTTTCCTGTTAACAAATTTGAGCACAAATAGGATAATAATGGTAATGACCAGAATTGTTTTCCCATCAGGTGTACCACTGACCATAACCACTAAGGTTATAAAATATCAAATTAGTTGAAAAGTATATAAACAAATATAAAATCAGGGCCTAAGTAATTTTAATAGTATGTAAATCATCTGAAAATGTACATATTTTTTTTTGTTTTATGTCTCCAGCGGTTGCATCGGATAGACTTTCCATTCAGTCAATGGGTCACATGACTCCAGCTTTGTCTCCCCAGAATCTGCTTTCTTGTGACACTCGGAACCAGCATGGCTGCAGAGGGGGCCGGGTGGATGGAGCTTGGTGGTATTTAAGGAGAAGAGGGTAATGACGCTGGATAATTGGATATGACATTGGAGGCAGTCCTGTTATGTGTTATTTCTGATAAACAAAGGATACAGAGCTGATGGAATTGTTTAAGATATGTGCCTAGGTTTCTCTACCGCTGTGGAGCTATGTGTAACCCAGCAGCATTTGCCAGTGTATAAAACTAGAAATGAATTGGATTAATCGGTGTTGTATAAATCATAACTATTCGTTGTCAGAATCTAAATGGTAAAGACCAATATTGGTCTGTATACTAGATTTATCTGCATTTCTGATAACACAATGTGTTACTTGATTAAGAAACATTAATCTGTTCTGTCGTTTCTTTAGAGTTGTGACTGATGACTGTTACCCATTCGCGGCTACAGCAACAAATGGTCAACACACCCCTTGCATGATGCACAGCCGTTCAGCAGGACGAGGGAAGAGGCAGGCAACCTCCCACTGCCCCAACCCACATTCCTATTCTAATGAAATCTACCAGTCCACACCAGCCTATCGCCTGGCTTCCAGTGTGAGTCAATTGTAGCTCTGTGTGTGGACACATCCTTGCATATTAAACATACTGTCAGTGATACTTTATCCCACATTCTATCTCTTGTTTGCTATACATGTTATGCATCATTCAAAGGATTACCCACTTAAGTGAAACTTCAGAGTGAATTTATAATGTAAAAACAAGGTAATCAAACTGAAAGAATAACTGACAGATAATTTTTCCAGTTCGGCTATTTTGATCTTGAAATTAACCTTAAATTCTTACTTTGGAGAATCAGCCTGTCCGTTTTGCCATTGTTTCTCTACACTAAACCCTGTTTGCAATCATTACTACTACCATACGCATATAGCCACTGTTCCTGCATCATTGGTGACATGCTTTAAATGTGACTTGTATGCTTATGCTACCAAATGCCATTACCCCAACTGCATGGAATATTAGCATATTTTAGTAAGAGAGTGATTAAATCTATCACTAATAATTTTCTTATCGTTCTTTAAAACTGTTCATATTGTTGGTATTTAATAAGCCTATAAGACATCAGCCTATAATGCTTTCACTATCGTGCTACCCAACTTTTGATCTGTGTTATTTTACTTTACTGAAGCTACATGCACAGACCTCTGTTGGGAAACAAACAATCTCTCCGTATCAATACTGGCAGCACACAACTGTACGCGAACAAGAATAATATGGGTGACGTTGTGTTGACATAGATTCCCACCCTCCTCCTAATTTTTACACAAACACACCAGTATTGTATTTGAATATTTTCTAAAACAGGAGATGTATATTAAATGAAGTTAGTTTAATAGCCTTTTCAGTGCATTTTGAAGATATTTGTCTATTTTATTAATTTATTACATGACACACACATATCCACCTAATCTGATTTAGTTTCAAAGTGATAAAGATTTGTTCCTGGTTTTGTTTTTCAGGAGAAAGAAATAATGAAGGAATTGTATGAGAATGGGCCTGTGCAAGGTTAGTTGTGTAGGATGGCTAACTCACTATGGACACGTTTTGTGGGATGTTCCTGGTATGCAGTGGTTAGTAGCTACCAAAAGTGGTGCAAGGAAGAACAAACACTGCATAGGCGTCCGTGTCATGAGTGTCCATGGCTCATTGATGCACATAGGGAGTTAATGCTAGCCCATCTGGTCCGATCACACTGAAGTGCTGTTATAGCTCAGATTGTTGCAAACTTCATGCTGGCCATGATTTAAATGTTTCAGAAGACACAGTGTGTTTCAGTTTGCTGCATGTGGGACTGTGTAGCCGCAGACTGGTCATGCTGAAAGCACCTTCAATTGGGGACTCATGGCTCCGACATACACTCATTGCTCAGACATACTGCGCTCCCAACTTATGTGCAAGTGCTATATTTGTATCTGTTCCCGCTACATTGTCTATATGGTATTTGACTTTCTAGCCTTACTATCGCTCAGGAACCTTTGCTGCCTGGAGTGACCCATTTTGATGAACCTGACCATGTCATTGTCTTTCTCCTGTTCTGTACCTCGCTAAACTTGCCCTAGTCAATTACTGCATTCTGAGCTCCTCCCTCTGAAATGCTGATTGCATTAGAAAGGTGGACTTAGGATATTACAATCGACATAAACACAATATATAAAAACATATACACAGTACAGTCTGGGCTCTACCAGAGGGTTGGATGAATGTGCTGGCCAGTTACTGGTCCTTTGAAACTCAGCTGTCAAGTTGCAGATGTTATAGCACTAGACCCCCTTTCTTATCATTGTAGTGATTATGGTGCTTTGAGTTTATGGCTCCCAACCAAAGTTTATTGTTGATAAGAACCAGGGCTCTCCTTGAATGGCGTAGCCCCAGCCTTCTGATGCTGTTTGGATAAAATACATTCCCGCATTAGTTGTGCAAGTCCGACTAATAAACAAGGGTAGTGATTGGCTGTGAATGCTGGGGAGGCTTAGCAAACCCAGGCAAGCCCTTCATAGTGCGACTCCAGTACCATTCCACAATATATCCATTGGTACCTCATGATTTATTCACTTAACTGTTTATTTTTCAGCTATTATGGAGGTACATGAAGATTTCTTTATGTATAAGAGTGGAATCTATAGGCACACACCAGTGATGGCAAATGAACCAGAGAAATACCGTCGTCATGGGACACACTCTGTAAAGATCACCGGGTAAGTAAAGCTTGGGCATGGGTTTAACACTTAAATTAAAAAAGAAACCTTGACTTTTTCTATCTCTCGTTCTCTTCCCTTTACCCTTACTCTCCCTTCTTATTTGGAACATGTGTTGTTACATTTTTATTATAAATAAATAAGTGGTCGGCAATTAAGTTTAAGCTTATAATTAGTGATGTCCCGAACAGTTCGCCGCGAACGGTTCGCCGCGGACTCATCATTGAGTAAACTTTGACTCTGTACCTCACAGTCAGCAGACACATTCCAGCTAATCAGCAGCAGACCTTCCCTCCCAGACCCTCCCACCTCCTGGACAGCATCAATTTTGAAGCTGCATTCTTAGTAAGCTGTCCAGGAGGTGGGAGGGTCTGCTGCTGATTGGCTGGAATGTGTCTGCTGACTGTGAGGTACAGGGTCAAAGTTTACTCAATGATAAGTCCGCTGCGAACCGTACGTGGCAAACCGTTCGGCGAACCGTTCGGGACATCACTACTTATAATTAAAACATGTTTTGTATTTGAATTAAATGTTCACCTAAAAAAAAAATGTTGCGTTAATCAAAAGACAATACAAACTATAAAATGTATGTCAAATGAACACTTCAAGTAGTTGTATGACTTTGATGATGATGATGATAATTCAGTTGGCTAAATTAAAACGAAACAGATGTCTAGTGTTTGTGTTGGGAATTAAAATCTGTGCAGCCTGGGTCCACTTTACACATACACAACTTCCTGCAGAACTCCCATGAGGTTTTAGCAATGCAACTTTTAAAATGTTTTAATTTGATATTACATAAAAGTCCAACAAGGTAGTCTTTACATTTCAATTGCCATTCTATCCACCTGCAATGCTTTCTGACATTACAGAAATATTTAATAGTCTCTCACTACTAGCCCAATACCTTCAACTGTTTTGAGAGAGCATAACATTTCATCTAAACAATGTGCTGGCAGATTTGCTGTATAGATTGGAAGAAAGATAGGTCTTTCTTTCACCTGTCATAGAATTGTGCCAAAGAAATGACAAAAAAGTGAGAGTGCATAGACCTCCCAGAAGCAGTCCATCTGCTCTCCACAAATGAGCTGTGGTTGCTATGGTAACACCCTAGCTGACGCTGCTAGCTCTAACTAGGTAGCATAAGAATAGAGTGACTGACATTGAATGTCGATCCTGACGCTCATTCATTGGCTGAGAACATCAGCTGACCACTCCCAGCCATCGAATGCGTATCCGTGAATTGAAATGAGGACTGACATTAGCCAAACTGGAACTCTTGTCTGGGGCTGGCTGATGATGTCCTGTAACGCTGCCAGACCTGGAGTTACACCTCCAGCGGCAAAGGGTTTAGACTTGGTATATGCAGCGTTTCACAGCGAAAATGTGCACATACAGACTCCAGACAGCATGAGCACCTCAAATCACTGAAGTGGTGATGGAACTTGGAGTAATCTATTAAAGTGAACGGATCATGACAGGGTTCATTTAAAATATTAAATATTATTTATTTAACTTTAAAAACAGTGAAAATGTGACCATAAGAAAAGCAGATATTATGTCCTGACTATATATATATATATATATATATATATATATATATGGGTTTCTATCTGACTTATCTTTGTCAACCATATATCCTCTTGTTCCTCTTCCCAAGGAATGCTTTCCATCTCTCTCTGACTCAATCTGCTCCTTGGCACCCATTATTACAGTCTCTGTGCCAGTCTCATTTTCTTTTCTTTTTTTGTTCATTTGCTCATCTCCTCTGTGATTCAGCCATCAGACGCACTCTTGGAGGTTATAGGCAGAGTCTGCTTCACAGGTCCCTGAAATAAGCGGAAGGGAGAGGCAGGAAGCATTAAGGAGGTCCCTGAGGATAGTGGGGCACAAAGAGCAATTTACTGAACACTAGCTATCTCCACCCATGGAGACTTCAACATTTCCTTTAAGGAATAACCCTTTCTCTGCAGGAATATGTTGTTCGTTAACTGGGGTCCAAGACAGGGACAGAAATGGAACTTATATGGTTACGTTTGTGGGATACAGAGCAGTGTGCAGTGATTAAAACAATGTGAAGTGAGTGTAAGATAATGCAGAGCAAGATACAGCATGTAATATAAGTAGGATAAAGAGCGACATATATTCTATTACACAGAACAATCTGCAGTAGAAAAAATGAGGTATAATGTTGTTAAAGTATAGAGCAGTGCACAGAGACAGATATGTGAATGTTTTAAAATCACAGGGATAGAAAGCAGTGCTGAGTTTAATAATAGATACAGAGCATCATTCAGGGGGCAGGTATGTGTGTGGAAGTGGGGTTAAAGAACAGCATACACTGACACATATGTAGTATATATAATCTACATACATGATCTGCCTGTAATTGTAATAGTCAAATTATGGTTTCCAATGCTGTACTGAAATAATGCATTGCATTTACACGATCAATAAACATTAACCTTTTGCTACACTAAACCTAAACTCAAATATCCCCAAACTGTAGAATATTACTATGTTCCTATTTACTATTCATAGTAGGCATGGATGTCTAATGGGTTAAAAAGAACAGATGGTACTTTGCTATGCTTTACCATAAGAACTCTGGGATGTGGTAATTGGGGATCTTGTCCTTATATGGCTAGGGTTATATTCTGACGTTATTATGGTCATATCTATATAGAATAGTGAACAAAAGACGGGCTTCTTGTCGGGCTGTTCTGTAGCTATGTAGAATCTAACTCTCCATTCAGGAGTCCAGCAATTACCATCTGCTGTTGAACATCCATTAGTCTGTAACATTCTTTGTTGTTTTATTATGTATCAGTAACTGTAAGAATGAACCAGAGGAAACTTTAAGTCAGATTAGGTATTAGTAATTTTGGTTTATATAGATCTTTATTAACCTGGTGAAGCTTTAGCCCTAGAAGCTATATATACAAGACTTATTTCAATCACCCTTTGAAAAAACACAGAAGAACAAATATATCACAGACACTAAGCATTACAATACCGTAACACTTACACTAACACAATCCTAAGCATGTATGTTTCCTTTGGCTTGTTCAGTAGCAAGTAAAGTATGCAGTCAACAGCTTCATAGTAGCCCATTTATAAATTAGCCCATGTCATTTTGCTCATATACATATTACCTGCATGCCATAGAACACAATTTATTTTCAGCAGTGCTGTTATTTATAAGTAAATAATTATGAAAATGTATTCATATCATGTGCAACATATTAAAGGGACCTGACAGTATAGTCACCAGTAGAGTAAGATACCTACTTTGTAATTATGTTAAAGGTTCATTTCTTTATTTGTTAGTAATCGTTTGCTTTATTTTCACACGGTCTTACTAGATGGGGAGAGGAAAGAAGGGCAGATGGACAAATACAGAAATATTGGGTAAGACCACTTTTTGTGATATGTGCATATTTGTCACTAAAGACATTCTTTTGTCTTTTTGGGACACAAGCAAAAACTCTGTGAAAGATACATATAAAGCAACCTAAAAGGTTGCCCTCTGGGCAGTTCCCTCTCAAACAAGTTCTAATTCACTGTACCGTTTGTATATTGGATTGACCACAAACAGCAATTTGGTACTGAAATTCCATGCATGTCCCCAGTGTACAAGGGCTTCAGCAACCTTGATGATTGGTTTTACCTTTCAAATGGTCTGTGTGATTGTCTTTTATATGTTGGTTTTGAAATCTTGTAGATTTTTCCCAGAATACATATGTTACAATCACAAATGTAGTGGCCATCTTTAGAGATCAACTTTGGGCTCAAGCTCGTACATGCTAATGTGGTTCCAGTTACAGTCTAATCAAAGTGAAACTTGAAGCCTGGAGGATGGTTTAGCACTAGCTGTAGAGTTCTGTATGTTAACTGAAGGTCATAGTTTCACTCCTGATACTGTATCTTGTATGGTGAGTCAGCGCGAACATTAACGTCATTGGTTATTGGTTTTCATTAAGGATCAGTCTCGTCTCTTCATTTTCCATTTGATTGTATTAACTCTGTTTGCTCGTCTGGTTAACAGTTAAATGCAATTATTTTTCATAGCAGCATGTTATTAATGACTAGTGTAACTACGTTGTACCAAACGTTAGCTATGCCTTATAGATCTAAGTACAACTGTCTTACATGGTATGTAAAAATAAAAATGTTTTCTCTTTTCTTTCTCGCTTACTCTTTAGCTGGCTGCTAACTCCTGGGGCACGGAATGGGGAGAGAGAGGATATTTCCGCATTGCCCGTGGTGAAAATGAATGCGAAATTGAAGCCTTTGTAGTAGGAGTATGGGGAAGAGTTGATATGGAAGACGTTTCACGCAAAAAATAAGGGGTCCATGGACACTGTTTTTCTATTTGGGCAAAGGGATAGGTTAGATCCTAGCTCAGACCCTCAGACTTTTATTTCTGAAAACTGCAAGCTGAATCATGATGTCAAAGGTGTATCCCTCTTATACTTAGGGGTAAATGTGGCTTTACAGGAAACCTGTGAACCTCTGTAGGTATTTATTTCTTCCTGTTAATCTAATCACAGGACCTTTTCCATTTTAGCCTACATGAGGGATGTAGAACTCTCTTACAGGAGACAACTTTGAGCGTGCATCAGCAAGGAAAATGCCCAATTCCCATACTGATTAAATGCTGATGTTCTGAAATTTAGGGTTAGTAAAGCTTTCATAAACTGATCCTGGTGCACTAGCTCCCATTTATAATGGGACTAATGTGATAGCAACAATAATTGCTCTATTTGTGTATTGTCACTAGCACATACACACCTTAGCTATTGTCACATTCCCCATCAGCAGTTACTCCTCTTCTGTGTCTTCACTACACCTTAGAAATGCAATGGATTTGCATCATTATGGCCACAGTAATTTGTGGAAATAACCAGGTTATAGACAACAGAGATACGCTGAGCTGCTCAATATTAAAATCCTCAATGTGAGCAGGATGCAGCAGGGGTCCTGCGTGTAGTTAAGCTTACACTATGGTGCTGACACTGGAGATTCAGTGTGTGGGATTTAGATGGGATAATAGTGCACATAATCCTATAAGCTCTGCATGGATCAAAGGGGTATTGTTTGGTGCTATGAACATTAGGCAAACAGGCCTGTGAACTAGTCAAAAGCAGACATTCCCCGCCGGACAGAACTTACAGGAGGGGTGAAAACATCCCTACAGAGGACCAAAGTGAACTAATGGCCCCATTATGTATAATGGGTTAAGACAAAAAAAGTTATTTGACATTAAGTAAGAAATGGCTTGAGAATCACGCTCTTTTTTTACTCCCTTTCTTTATGGTTTTTCTCCATGGCTTATGTTAGGTCTTCCTATTTTTTTGTATAAACCAGAGTTTACCACAAATATTGCTGTATCGCACTACTTTTATATAACCCAATACCTGGCAGAAATGACTACCAATCCAGCGACTTTTCCATAAACAAGGAAATCATTTTGGTTTCAAATCTTTATTAAAACATGAAATCTATGCGGACATAAATCTAAATATATAAAATGTGAAAATGAGTGTAACTTATTTATTGAATTGTTCCGAAAATAAACCTGTTTGTATGACTCCCTCCTGTACATTATTTTTGAATCCAGTATAAATGAAATGCTGCTATTTTCAAATGAATACATCCTGGCACAGTGAGAGTTAAAAGAGGGCAGCTCTAACATCCAGGAGGCACTAGGTTCTTATTACAGTTTATTCTCTAAATAATCAGATGTTAGGAGCTCTATATTCAGATGGTTTTGTTCCAGATCTCTTATATTGCCCTAAATATTGCATTTGGTCCTCATTCACCCAGTGTGCAATACGAATTTGAGTTAAACGGAGTATTTTATGGTATAAAAGGTAGATATGGACATGAATGTGCCAGTTTTTTTTTTTTATTATTCACATTATAGCTATGAAACACCTTCACCCACCAGTAAACACTATTTCTATTTTATATCTTTTTTTCCCCATTTACCTCTGCACCAAGCTGTCTGTAAAAGAGACAGCACATGGGTCTGGGTACGGGCTTAGATGGGAAAAGATTTGTAAAGATGGGGTGAATTATATCCTTGGATAGCAAATCCTTGAGTGTTTTAAGAAGCTGTAAAGCTTCCTAGTGTATAGCAAAATATAAATGTAGCAAGGAGAGTTCAATAGTAAATTAAGCATGTTTCAATCCAAAAATCCATTATCCCTGCAGAGAAGCCAGGTATAAGTAATCATACTACAGCTATGTATGCCGCTCTTCCCAGAACCCTCCGACATGAAAGTTGTCAAAGCAAGTGCAAATCAATACTTTACAAAGAGCTCATCCCCACTGAAACCGTGCATGTCTATATCTTGCCTTTGCCAGTCGAGTATTATGCACATGGATATAAGTTTTGCTTGGCACAGACACTTGAAGTACACGAGTTAAACAAATAGAACCTTTTTTCCCCCAAAACGAATATCAGCCCAATTTGTTATAATGATTGGGGAAAGCATGCCACAATCTACCTGAACTTTAGCTGCTGTCTTTCATGGCCTTTAAGTTGCTTTCTTAGCTACAGGTACACTGTGAGGTGCATAATGATACTTCAGCTATACATTAAAGGAACACACTATAGTGCCAATAAAACAAAGTTGTTTTCCTGGCACTGTAGCGCCTCCCCTCCATGGTGCAGAAGGAGTTATAAACCCCATCTGTTGCTTACCTGAGTGCAGCACAGATGTCCCGTAGACAGCCACTAGAGGTGCAGTTAACCCATAAAGGTAATTATTGCTGCACACTTGAAATGATCTACACATCCAGTACAAAAGAGTGGTGGATTACACAGCCTTATCAAGAACATCAATGGATATAGGTTTTGATAGAAAGTCTCCATACCCATGTGCTGTACGCCACTGGGTAAGAAAACTGTCCATAACCAACCTATCAATTTAGCAATAGATACAAGTATGTCAGGGCAGGATGGTACAAAGGTCACCAAGGCTTTGGTCAGAGAGCTCATATCATGGTCTCCTAACTAAGCCCCTTTTTTCAATTTGAAGGAAGCAGAATTTAGCTTCATATACATCCTGCATGATCCTGTCCATGAGCAGTCCCAGAGGTAAAGTACCTGAAAGGTAGGTAGGTCAGGTATTAGAGGGTGAGATCACAACCAAGAAAGATACCAAACAGAATCAAGTAGCACATGAAATAAATAAGGGGTAGACAATCTTCTACACTGTATCTGGTCAGAAGTCCATTCACCAGCCTCCACAGAATAAAAGTGCCAAACAAAGAAGGGCATGCTCAATGTGAGTGAAAATTTTTGTTCTGGATGTGCACTGCTTACTTGGAGTTGCTATTGCTTTTATTAACCTTTTACTGAAACGTTTAGAATAAATCTTTAATCTGTCAATAAATGTGTATTATGCTTTATCTAATGAGGGGGAGAGTTTTCTCCTTATATCAGTCAAAAAACATTTAAAACAAATAAATTTAAATGTTCAGATGGTTCTTACTGGACCACCTCCAACCAGGAAAACATTTATTTAAGAATACGTGTGCGTTGCTGGAAATGTTTTATATCAGGGAAATAAAATATGACAGACTTACTTTGTGATGTACATATATATTTATGTTTTGCTGAATATGCAATTTACAAAGCCTTAGCCCATTCAAAATATGGCAATAGACAACAGGGTTTGAATTCTAATACATATCTATCATGATATCTTGCTTAAAGACAATATGAAATCCCAATCTGTCATGTACTCGTGGTTCAAATAAAAATACATTGTTAAAGAACGAAAAGAATATATGCATACATAGCTAACACATTGGTGTTTTAAAATGGTTATATCAATCAAATTAAAGTTTCTATCATTCCCCCCTTTCACATCATTAAATAAGGAGTTCCTGATAATTCAAATATGTAGACCCCAGCTTAGAACTTTTTCAAAGCAGTTCTTTCACCCAAAGGATCCCTCTGCTTTCCATGCATCTATGTCTCTGATGCCTGCCAGCCATTTCAGACACAGGGATCTTACTTACTGTTACATAGAGTACCGGTCCCTCCGGGTCTTCTTTCTGGTTGCGGTTTCCTCAATTTTCTAAGATGGCAGCGACTGGATTCATTGCCCATAGCAGGCAGTGCTTAAGAGTCAGCATTGAAGAACAATGATGTTCTGCAACAGGACATGACGCGGTTCTTGAGAAAGGCGAGTACTGGAATCCAGGCCCAATAACAATATTGATAGAGGCAGTGGCACTAGACTAAAGCTCCACCCTTTGTCAACATGCTGATACTCCATAAGGAAAAGTAGTACCAACTTTTCCATTTTCATAACTTTTTTTTTTTTTTAAAGAAAGGGCAAAGTAAGGACGTGATTTGGAAAATGAGAAAAAAATTAAACCAAAAAGATCCACGTTAATCTTGAGTGGTGTGTGACTGCACTTTATGTATATAAGTACAAGTCTGGCTTCTTGAGATTCAATGAATGGATGACGAAAGGAAGCAAATATATTGAGATTTATAATGGAAATAGACTACCAGAATTTTCGTTAAAAAAGTAGTTCATTGTGCAAGTAATGCCACATCTTTGTAACCAAATGGAAGTATAAACCATTAAAAAAAAAAAAAAAATCAGTACAAAGCTTAATGACACATTTCAATTAGAAGTTAAATTCATCACAAGTGGTAAGTTACATTTGTTATTAACAGAAATCAAAATGTGACTCATTAAAAAAACTAAATAGTTTTTTCCCCTAAGTACATCTGATCTAACATTGACTGTATGCTGTATGTACAACTTAACAGTATTTGGCACATTACGTTTTACATTTGGCCAAGTTGTACAAAAACTATAACAGTTTATTTAGCAAGTGAGCACTTTTCTATAAAGTGTTTTTTGTGAAAAGCTAATCTGGAGTGTTACTTCCCCCTAGTGGGCAAAATGTGAACAGCATCTGAACTGCTATTTTACAGTCAATTTACAAAATAATAGCTGCTTCAGATTGACATTTTCATTGCTCTATAGACTCAGTGAACAATGTACATTGTTACTGGAAGAAGCCCAGAGGAAATCAGTTGGCCTGGCATAATAAGAAGTACCTGAAAAAACTTACAAGCTGTGCATTTGGGTTTAAACATCACAGAGCATTACAACCCTGATGAGCAGTTTGTTACATTTATAACAGGGAAAGGAATCCTAGGTAGAGAATGCCAATGGCATTGTGGTGCCATTAATGGGGTGTTGGCAGCAGACGTTAAATAAGCCGTGTTGTAGTCATAGTGAGGAAGTCTTCATAGCTGAGCCTCGCGGTGCCTGACCTACTGGTATCCTTCTCTCTGAAGGCCTCGGTCATGCTCTGCAGTTGGATGCAGACCTGTATGAAGCGGTCAAGTTGTAGGGTTGGGTTGGCAGATCTCTGTGCATATCGGGACATCACCATCTGAACAAACTGAGGGCTGAGGTTATACCCCATCTGCGAAAGAGCTGTAACAAAAAAATATAAAGTAAGCAAAAGCTTTCTCTACACAAAAAAAGCACAAGATTCAATTTTTTTTTCTGAATCTTTAAATATTAAGAAGGTGAGGTATTTTTATTTCCAGCAACAACGTTTTTTCCAAATAACCACTAACAATGAGGTGTAGTGGTTATGGTGCTACTTTACATTTGTCCTGTGCATAGCAGCTCAGGATATTAAAGCCTTAAAACAAACCAGACAAACTTCCATAGTATACTTGCCATTTTCCCTTTTAATTAACAAAGCTTCCCTCTGTACCTACCTCATTTGCAGCAGTTTTCCTAAAAGGTCTATGGGAGAGCAGTACATAGCACATGCGATTTATGGCAGCTGTGCAGTACATATAAACATGCTGCCAACTTTTATTTAACAGACATTTAAATTGGGAATTCATTCACAAAAGCAAGTGATGGATATTTGCCAAGTTAATGATAAGCAAGCATTAGATCCATGCAGTCTACATTTCTCAATAAAATCTTACATCTCCCCACCTTGATCGTGAATTTTTTTCCCCCCAAAATTAGGAGCATGTCTTGCATTATAAATACAAAATAACAAATAATAAAATGTTGCACTAAGTATAAATTGGAACAATGTTGCTAGAAGCAGTCTCTCCTCTGACTCAACCTTGAGAGAGATTAAAATGCAGTGTAACGCGGTTTTAAAACTTTTTTTATTTTTTTATTATGAATGGTGGAGCTACTGATTGGGTTCAAACATCAGCTGACCGTTGTAGCTAATCAGAAGCCGGATGCTACTTGGTAGGCTGGAGATAGCTTCTGGTGTTAAATGTTCAAGAATGGTTTAACTCCTTAAGATAAAATAATACCTGGGTCCTCTAGGCACCATAACAACTTCACACAGATTAAGTTGTTATGGTGACGGAATGTTCCTCTAATATTCCTGGGCACCAGCTGCTGCCATTAATTAGGCCCCTTTCCTATTACGGATATCCCGGGAGAGGAGCAGCAGAATCAGAGTGTGAGTAATTTAGTTGAAGAATGCTTAGCAATGAGGTCAAAAAATAAATAAAAAAATTATATATATTTTATTTTATTTTTTGTTACCCTTCTCACCTTGATAAAGTTCGTTGTGGTTGATGCAGCCCGATTGGTCTCGGTCATACTGCTGAAACATGGACTTCCATTGCTGAATGAATCTCCACAACGCGGAAAAACCAAACACATCCATCCTACCAGTTCCAGTCTTATCAAACATATCTGCAGGAAGATTTACAAAGTTAGTTACGTTGTGGCAAAGCCTTCCAACAGGCATCAAGAAAAAGTAAGAATTAAAGAAAAAGTAAAGACTAGACGTTAAAAAAATATATATAATCTCTTCTGAAAGAATTCCCAATAAGGAAAAAAATAATAAATAAAAGGTTTCATGTGAGGTACACATCCATGCTTGTGTTAAACAACAGGATTTTATAGTTTTTATTACAACGAACATGGAGCCTCACTAATTCAATGTACTGGTCTTCATTAGTTAGTATAAAGCCATAAATAGAGGGTCATCAGGTCATGTTGTCCAAGAACTTTGTAATCAAGCAAAGCGAGAAACACACCAATGGATGCTCTTAATGTTATTGATAATTGTGGAGTTGAAGACAAGTTTCATACTGGGGATTTAACCAAGGTCAAGAGGTAAGCATTATTTTGTGGAAATATTGTTATTGACTCACATAGTAAATATAGGGCAAATTTCAAGAAAACTGGTGTCAGAAGAAGAGGTCACCATCTTGCCAACCTACAACTTGGTGATGCAATATAAAAAAAATAGGTGCAAAATTATTACACAGACAACCAACACAAAAAAAAATACACCATTAGTGGGCAGAGCCTGTCAGCTGAGGGGACCAGACGTGCATTGTCTGTGCTCCTCTGTCTGGACCTGGAAAACGGAATGTTCTCTGGAGCCACTACTGGCGATCAGCTTGACAAGGTGTATCGGGGGATACCAAACATGGCCCCTCCACTGCCAGAACGTCCGCATCGAGGCTTGCGGCCTACCTGAGCAGGGTAGACAGTCTCTCTATGGAGAGACCGTTGCTCTCTAAGTCCTTAACCGGGCAGAGTGAAGCAAGTACCGAACTATTCCCCCCCCCCCCTTTGAACCGGTGTGGGTCATCCCGATCCCCCCGTGTATTTCTGCAGACTACAAGCTACTGAAATTGCACAGCAACGTGTGGCAGGCTCTCTTAAGATGGCGGATGCTCGAATGCTACATGTGTAACTTGACATCCATGCACGAGGCACGTGAACGCCTGTTTACCATTGTGGACAAGCTTTTTGAAAGCTTCCATACAAAGCTGTCAGCAAGCACCACAGTGTCGCTGGCTCTAAACCGGGAGAGAGAACAAGGTCATTTCCGTGAGGAGGTGAGCGGGCCCTCTCTGGGCATAACCCTTCCACAAGCCTCTCTGCAGTTGCCCCGCCTGGGCTGAAGGCTTCAGAGGATACAATCCACCTGCATCTACCACAGTGGTAGAGGACCCATCGCCCCTGGCGGCACAGCCCTACGCAGTTTGCTGGCGCTATATGAATAGTAATTTAATAATAATAATAATAATAATAATAATAATAATAATAATAATAATAATAATAATAATACCACCACCGGGATCTCCAGTTTTCTCCCACCAGGGAAAGACTCGGCCTCAATTCACAGCCCCCCGAGTCTGTGGCTCCACGACGAAGGCCTTAACAACGACCCAGGGCTGGAGGGAGGATCGGCACAGCCCTTGCCTAGCTGCCTACTACACTGACCTCCACAAACTCCCGGTCCGGGGGATAGGCTGATGCTGCACTTCAATGCACATTATAAAATCCCCAGCCACGATCTGCTGATACCGGTTCACAGAGCTATATGTTTTTTACTGATGCTTTCAATACTTAATCTGCAATGCAGCTAAAACCAGGGAGTTTAGTCTTAGGGGAACTCTTATACTATTTCTGTTATAGCACGCTGATTCTATGTACTTACAGTACTCGTTAGCAGAATGTTTAGATCTTACTCTTTGAACTGCACCTACTTGTGCACCTTACTTTTTACGAGCCATATGCCTACCTATGCGAAATATGCTTTACCCCAAACCTGCATGTTTTCTATACCTAAAAATGAGGCTTGGTTACTCTCTTTGAAATTGTGCATTCAAAGGTAATTTACGATAATTGCGCATATGCCTCTGCTCGTGTATAATCTTTTTGCTTGTGAGTCTTAATTATTCTTTGCCCTGGGAAACACAGCTCACTTATGAATCCCCTGGTTCTCCGACCCATGTGCCTCAGGCCCTACAGTCTAATTTGCTCTTATTGCATTCTAACTACTACAACGTAGGTGCAGTACTAAACCTGCTGCGAGTGTTCCAAAATTGCTTAGCTACTCTCTTTTTTTCGCTTTGTTATGGACAAAAGAAAAATGTGCAGTTCAACTGCATGGCATGATAGTGCTTTGATTACAATATCTGTTATTGTTCTATGTGATATTGCTGTTGTAGCACCTCATGCTTGTATAGTACTACATGCACAAATAAAATAAAGATTGACAAAAAACAAAAAAATTAGACCATTAAAATAAATAAATCCTCATACTTACTTATCATCATGACGCAGGTCTCATCATTAAATGCTGACCAATTGGTGTTCACCAGGGCTTGTTTCAGCTCCTTAAATGTGATGTTGCCACTGCGATCTGCATCAACTGTCTGGAACCACGTGTATGCCTCTGGGTCAACACCTGGAGGAATGTTACCTGTGGGATATGGAAAGAAACTTTGATTACATGTAAACAAGGTTTGTTTTTGGAGGGGTAGCACCCTAAATGTTCCTGATCCTGACAATTGCCTTGCTCTTGTTCAGATCTCATTCAATTGAGTCTTAAATAGTCCAATAGTTCATTCATTCAAAACAAAAAGAGATGAATGACAAGTCAAAATAAATGTAAAACGAATTGCACAGTGAAAGCAATTTGTTTATTAATTTAAATAAAACACACTAATTGAGAAAATCAATTAAAAGTACATAGTACTTTTAATTGATTTTCTCAATTAGTGTGTTTTATTTTGATTGCTTAACCCCTGGTGGTGGTTATTTTATACTAGTGATACAGTGGTTATGGTAGCCGTATCCAATCTTTATCTTTAATCTTAGAAAGATACTCTACCGAATTTGTTTGGTGTATATCTACTAAGTTTTATCATATTGTTGTTTATTAATTTGTTTGCGTATTTAATTCAAGCTCCTACACTGGAATTAACAAGTTAAATATCAAAGTGGGAGAACACCTGGCATGCTCCCTTCCGCCATATCCCAATCCGTGGGATGCATATTAGTATAGTCACAGGGCATGGGCGTGCCAAATCCCAACCCAGAGCAAGTAATTATTGCAGTTTTTATAAACTACAATAATTACCTATTTTTCCATGTACAAGACTGTTTTTTTCTAATTTTTTTTAGTCTAAAATTAGGGGTCGTCTTATACACGGAATGTCAGTACAGGGATTTATAAAAAAATAAAAAATAAAACACACACACTTGCGCGGGGCCTATAGATGGCGCCAGCTGCATTTCAGTGTACCACGGCGCACACACATACCTGGCCTCCCGCCGATCCACTTCTGAATGCAGTGGCAAGGAGGAAGAGGTCCCTATATGCATGGGAGCAGCAGCAGCAGACATCAGCACTTACCACCAACAGAGCTCCAGAGACATGCCACACAATAATAGGATTTTATATATTTTATATATTATATATATTTATATTTAGGGGGAGGAAATGGGGATCAGGGAACAGATGGAATACTAGTGTAATGTCCCAGCATGCCTTCACACCACCTGCTGTATCGTGGGAGCTGTAGCATGCACTATAGAGCCATTAACTTTCCAGAGTACCGTAGCACAGGGGAGGCATGAGAATCAGAAATGTGGTGTTCTCCTCAGAGGTTACCTCTAAAAATAAAGTTCTATTTGATTTCATTATTTTGGGCTCAAAAAAACAGGGGGCGTCTTATACACGGAAAAATACGGTACCTTATAGGGTTAAGTCCTCCTCTAGTGGCTATCTACCGACACTGGACCCATGCAAGTGAAAGAAGGAGTTACTAAACCCTTCTACACCATGGGGGTGAGCCTTGACAGAAGGTGAAGCTACAGTGCCAGGAAAACGAGTTTGTTTTTCTGGCACTATAGTTTCCCTTTAAGCAGGGGTCCACTCATTCATATATTAACCATTGTACCACATGGTAAGAAAAGTGGGGCCATCTGTTGGTTGGGAAGTACATTTGGACTGGCTGATACAGATCCACAACTAACTGAAATGATATAGCACAGGAAAAAACTGTAGTGATTCACTACTGAAATTTTCACGTCTTTTTTTTTTTTTTTAAATTTTATTACATTTAAAGGGAAACTATAATGCCAGGAATACGAAGTTCACGCTCACATTAGGACTTTTGCAAGCAAATTCAATTTACTTTACTTGATCATAGATTAATGTCTAATTTTAATACAGAGCATTATAAGACATTCTGAGAGCTGAATGCCAATATGCAATAACTAAAACAGTACATGCTAATGTAACCAGAGCCAAGCATTTTGCACAATTAAAGAGCTTGAAAGCTTTAAAGGAACACTATAGTCACCTAAATTACTTTAGCTAAATAAAGCAGTTTTAGTGTATAGATCATTCCCTGCAATTTCACTGCTCAATTCACTGTCATTTAGGAGTTAAATCACTTTGTTTATGCAGCCCTAGCCACACCTCCCCTGGCTATTATTGACAGAGCCTGCATAAAAAAAAAAAAAAACTGGTGTCACTTTTAAACAGATGTATTTTACCTTAAATAATTGTATCTCAATCTCTAAATTGAACTTTAATCACATACAGGAGGCTCTTGCAGGGTCTAGCAAGCTATTAACATAGCAGGGGATAAGAAAATCATAATTAAAGAGAACTTGCAATAAAGAAAGCCTAAACAGGGCCCTCTTTACAGGAAGTGTTTATGGAAGGCTGTGCAAGTCACATGCAGTGAGGTGTGACTAGGGTTCATAAACAAAGGGATTTAACTCCTAAATGGCAAAGGATTGAGCAGTGAGGCTGCAGGGGCATGTTCTATACACCAAAACTGCTTCATTAAGCTAAAGTTGTTCAGGTGACTATAGTGTCCCTTTAAAAATTATCCCCTTTACTCCAAACTCACCGGAGGAAGGTCCTTGCCCATAATGCCCAGGTTGATGGCCACCATAAGGGCTGGATCCCGGCATCCCATAAGGTCCTCCAGGTGCCTGCCCACCATAGGAACCTCCTGGAACTCCTGGTGCAGCACCCCCCTGGGTAGGTTGTCCATATGAGCCCCCTGGTGATGGAGCTGCATAAGGTCCACCAGGTGCTTGGGCACCATAACCAGGATGACCCCCTCCCCCATACTGTTGTCCAGAATAATAACCTCCCTGGGGTGCTCCTGGGGATTGTCCTGCTGACCCAGGGTATCCCTGTGAAAAAGAGAAATAGAGTCACTACACAGAGTTAGCTAATAATAGATGATGGATTGTAAAATACAAACTGCAAACAAGCTCAGACCTGCAAGATTAGTATTGCTGTATGCTAGTTTCTACTGGATACATGTAAAACAAAACCAACACGCACCAGTGACGGGCTTGTTGGAATGTGAAAGGAACTCTACATGAAAAAATGTTTAGTTATAAACAGGATTGTATTTTATTTACCTTGTACACATAGCATTACATATACAGTAGCCTTTTGTACATGGATGACAGGAACAGACATATATGGTAAGTGAGAATTCTGCAAATTCCTTCATTAACACTCAAGCAGATCCCATTGCACAGCCCAGTTCACAAAACAGTGTCTGGCTCTCACCTTTTTATAGAGCAGTACTACTCATCTTGGTTCAGGACCCCCAAATATCCTAATTTTTGTCACGATTTTTGGGTACTGCCCCACAGTCCCACCATAGTTCCCTGGTATCCTCAATGTGCATAGTGCGAGTGTACCATAAGATGCGCTTGCGCTATGTTGAGGGCACTAGGACCCTGCCAAGCATGCTGTAACAGTGCTCCCCTCAATGGACTGGTTTAAATAATAGGCAGGCAGCCTAGTGTACATTCATACCAGGCTGGCCTGTCAACAATTTGGCTGGACCTGCCCCTTCTCCAGGAAAGTCTAAACCTTTGTGGGTGGGGTTAAGGATACAATCGGGACAGTCCATTGCACCAGAACCACTACATTAAGCTGTTCAGGATCTCTGGAATATTTATTATTTATGTTTGCATTATTTTAGAAGTTAAAGAGCACAGTTTATGTTATTATTTATCTTTGAATGTGTTAATTCACTAAACTTCAAATTACAGCAAACTGACATTTTTTAGGCTAAAATCAGCCAAGCTGTGACTAAAGCAAAGTATTTTTTTTATTACAGTTTTCCATTCAGATTTAAGTGAATAAACTCTCAGATATACTTATTGGCTTGTTGCACTTAATTAGTGAACTGTAAACATTTCAGTGACATTTTCCAGTTTGGCAATTTTGGCCTAGTGGGGATGGAAACCTCCATCTCAACTATAGTCACAAACTATCACACCGCAGATCACACTGCTTTGCCTAACAGCACAATTACTAAGTGATTGCATCAGCAGTCATAACTGAGCAAAACAAGTAAATGCATGTTCCCAACTGAAGATTGCTAACAGGGTTATTCACTAAAGCGCAGATTCAAAGGGAATGTCACATTTTAGGACCAAAAAAGCGAACTGTAGGTGGCTGGGCCTGGCAGGCAAGATGGCTGGACATGCCTTTTGAGTGCTCTGACACAAAGGAAACAAACTAAAAATTACTGCCCAAGATCGAATACTAACAGCCTTGTATGCCTGTGACGTACAGCCTTGTATGCCACTGAAGCGAGTCGGAGCTTCTGGATACCAGTCACAGACAAATATATGGAGAAGCACTGATGTCCGACCTGTGTTCTTATCTGAGAGATGACCTAGTGGCCGATCTTCCGGCACAGGGACAGATATGATTCACGAGCCCCTCCTCCCCCTTTGGACCGGTGGGGGTCATCCCAGTCCTTGCTGAGGAAACCTACTCACCCGACATGCTGAGTTACCATGCTGAGCCGACCACACGACAAACCAAAAATTGTGGCCATGTACCAGCTTGTGCAACCTTAAGAGGGCCCAGGAATCCCTCAATGGAGGGAGCACTTTGAGGCTCAATTCAACTTGATTTGTCAAGCGTTCTGGAAACGCATAGGAGCACAGGCCTCCCTCATGCACCCTACCTGCCAAACTGGAGAACAAGGAGGCGACGGCAATTTACCTGCCACGTTCAAGGCCTACCTGAAGGAATGTCCCTCTCCTAACCAGCAATAACGAGGGTTCCCAGACAGCTGGAGCGCCTTAGGGCACGAGTCTTTAGCAAAAGGAGAGCAACAGCCTGGGTGGGTGAAAAACCGCAACCGCATATCCCTTCAGTATGAGGACCGGTTTCTGCCGCAGGTCTGCGTATGGGCACAAGGAGACACCATGCTGGGCCAGGGAATCTACTGTCTGTACAAGAATACTAGTGGTATCGGGTGAAGCCTTGCTGCTGCCTCTATTTCAGCTACAATCCTGGTCACAGAGCAGGACAATGTGTGTTTACATTATTATCATCATCATCTGCTAAATACCCAGCAGTACAAATATCCCATCCCATTTGTTTTAACTGTTGATAAGCATGCGTTACTACACATATATTTAGGTTACTCTCCCTTACATCTGAGAGGCCATATCTAAATGTAAGTTTCTCTCTCTATAACCAAGTGCAGACATAAATGCCTAGTTAACTAAAGCTGATTTTTTAACCTTTGCTACTTGTGTCTAGATAACGATGATGGCTCTATAATACTGAAGTAATGCATCCTCTGAGATGTTCTGTACTTAATCCTTTTACTGTCCTAGGATATAAAAATGTGCTGGCTATGCTATACACTTAATCTTACGTACTATGTTTATCTCTGAAAGTGTAAATTGCTTTATATCTAACATGCACACCAAAAACAAAGAATTAAAAAAATAAAAAAAAATAAAGAGAGAACTGGAAGCATAGCTGAAAGAGAAGTTCTCCAATTTGGGCATTTTGGCATTGAACTTTATATTCAGTTTGCATACACTCTTTAGTGAATAATCCTGTTAAAGACAACTGTCAGTGAGATTATGCAGTGGTACCTTAAAGGACACTATAGTAGCCAAAACAACCACAGCTTAATGCAGAGCTTGACAAATCCCAGTTACCAGGTAGCCATTGCGACTAAGAATTTTGTTCTGTCGCCTGGGTTCCTATCACAATCCTGCAGGGGAATTGCAAGCTGGCAGGAAAGGCAGGTAAAGACTGCTTGCTTGCCGCCTGCTTCACCTCCTCAGAGCCAGCATCCAGCCCGTACCATTCTGCAGAGCCGGCTGCCCACCCATTCACTTTTGTGGCTTCAGCGCGGAGGAGCTAATTACAGTTCACTTCCTCCCGGCGCACAGAAATATGCACGGTGCTGGAGAGACAGGAGGAGGGGGAGTCTGGAGCAGCGGCAACCTAATCCCATCAGCTGCCGCCAGACCCATTAACTTAAAGTCACTTGCTGCTGCTCAATCCCACTGAATCCCAGGGAAGCATTTGCTTGACACATCATTTTGCCATGAATGCGCTCTAGCTTCCCAATGCTCCCCTATAGGAAAGGATTGGATCGTCAAATATCACCAACTTTGATGAACTCAGCTAAGGAAGCAGTGGCAGCCACGGTGAGAGCAGTGTAACAAGGGAGGTAGACGACATCTACATAGGGAGAGTAACCCTATAGCAATTGGAATACATGTTTTTATCCATATCCCTACAGTGCTCCTCTACAAAATCCCTACTACGTAAGATTGTGATAACCCTGAATGAAAAATAAAATAGAAAGAGATGAAGTCACACTTACACCATTGGCAGATTCTGGGGGTGGGGGGGGGGGTGGGGGGAGGTTAACGAGAAAATAGTGAGGCCGAAGGTCTCGCCTGCCCCAAGTGCCAGCCCTGTTGTTCGCCTTCACAGACCGGAGGGGAGATCAGTGATCTCCCTCCCCAGCCCACAGGCACATCGCTGGACGGCTGGCAGGGGAGGGGGAGAGAGAACCCGGGGGAGCTCTTACCTGCAGCTCCGCCGAGTTCTCCTCTCACGAACACGGAGCTTGACGTGGTTACCATGGCAATGCTCCGTTCTCGTGAGAGCTTACTCTAGCCTAAGCTGCAGGCTAGAGTTCACTCTCACCACTAGGGATGGAAAGAAAGCAATGTCTCCATCCCTGAACAAAGGTAAGAAGGGATGGAGGATATTAACTATATTTATTTAGCAATTATTTATTAATTTACAAAAATTATCTTTAATCTGTCCCGCCCCCAACTCACACAAACTATAACCCTCTACACCACAAACAAACATACAGCCCTCTTACACACACAGCCCTCTCCCTTACACTCACTGCCTGTTTCAGGAGATATAAATAACAATATCTCAGCCCCCAATTCACCTCCCTTATACAAACATAGCCCCCAATACACACAAACACACTGCTCCCAAGATACACATTGCTACCACATACATACACTGCCCTCCCACGCACGCACACACATTGCCTCTCCATACACACACACACACACACACACTACTGCCCCTATCCCGGCAGACCCAGGGTAAGTTATCAAATTGTTTTTTAAACGGTTTGACTACTTATGCTGGGATGGCGCCACGGCACTCCTGGCACCAAAACCACTACAGAGAGCTGGATTGTTTCTTTAAATGATCTGCCAGTGCCCCTCCCGAGATTAGATTCTGGATCCGCCACTGACTTACACGGTTATTTCACCAAAGTGAGAATTGAAAGTGAATTTCAAAATTTAAAGACCAGAGTAGCCGAACTAACAGAATATCTAACAGAGGATTATTCCAGTTCAGCTATTTTTACCTTAAAATGTGAAATTCCCTTTGAATTCAGCTTACAGGTCTCACTTTAGTGAATAACTCTGAGTGACAGAGCACTGCATGGAATTCTGGGGCTCACACAAATCTTCATGGTGAACCTGGAAGTAATAAGAGTGTAATGTTCTATTCCCTAAAGTGACAGTGAAATCAATGTGTGATTCTATGACAGGCAGCTCTATCCCCCCCCAGCAATGCTGTATGAATGGCACAGCCCGCCCCCCCTGCAAACACACTACTTAATACAGACTACCCATATAGTGACATTATACACTGATATCATGGTAACACACACACCCCCCCACCCTCTCCCTCCCGCCCGGTCCTGCAGCCCACTAGCAGTCAGTCCCATACCTGCCCGTACTGATAGCTCGCCATGTCGCTTCTGACGTCACCAACTCCTGATTGGTTGTTTCAGGAAGACGTTTACAGCAGCGATAAGCGCCGTACCCCAGAGAGTGGGCGAGACATTCCATGGCGTAATAGAGGGAGGTGTTTACAGGGCGGCGCGCGAGGGATCATGGGAGGTGTGGCGGAAGTAGTCCTGCTGTGTGTTATATGATATGATATTTATGGAGCATTTAAATGCTTTTTATTTCAATTTTAATCTTTTTTATTATTAAAACATTTTAAAAAACTAAACCTTTTCTGAGCTTTGAATGCTGCACATACAGCAATCTAAACGTAGAGTTGAATTCCAAGTGTAGTGGTGGGCTGAGACAATGAGGGCACAGCTGGAGTGATGGCTATTGAGAGCATGGCTGGGGCACATTGACAGGGGACTGCCATGAATGGGGATATTCTTCATGATACCTGCATCTGGCACCTACATTTATAACCACTCAGTTAAAAGGGCACTCCACAGCCCACATAACATGTATTAGAAACCACTGTTTAGTAGATAAACCCCAATGGAAGCTTGCATGATTTTAATGATACATTTTTTCATTGGAGTTATATCTGAAATCAGCTTGCATATTTTGCAGATCTATTGTCTGCAGCCTTTGCAAGCTCTCTCCTTCAAAATCCCAGACTTTTTATTGCTGTCCAGACTTCCCAGTGCAGCTTAATGAGAAGCCTTTGCAAGGCATTGCTCTGGGCAATTGTCCGCCTCTTGAGTTCAACTCCACTGAGCTAAACAAACCAGGAAGTGGTTATTTGTACCTGCTGGGCTGGCCTTAAAGAACCACTATTGTGCCCTAAGGGTGCCCCCACCCTCCAGGTCCCACTCCCGTGGCGCTGAAGGGGGAGGAAGGGGTTAATCCCTTACCTTTTCTCCGGCGCTGGGACTCTCCTCCCTCTTCTGACGTCACTGGCTGAATGCACATGCGCGGCAAGACCCGCGTGCTCATTCAGCCAGTCTCATAGGAAAGCATTCTCAATGCTTTCCTATGGACACTTGCGTCTTCTCACTGTGAAAATCACAGTGAGAATCGCCTCTAGCAGCTGTCAATGAGACAGCCACTAGAGGCTGGGTTAACCCTATTGTAAACATAGCAGTTTCTCTGAAACTGCTATGTTTACAGCAAAAAGGGTTAATCCTTGGTGGACCTGGCACCCAGACCACTTCATTGAGCTGAAGTGGTCTGGGTGCCTATAGTGGTCCTTTAAAGGGATGTATATAACTGTGAGACAATTGTCTATAATTAAAAAGCTTTAGCTTTGAATAACACAGTTGTCTAACGGTGCAGGTTGAAAATGCCGGTAAATTAGTTTCTTTCATATTTGTCTGCTTCTTCTTTCTTATGCTTTCCACACTCGTTCGAGGGGGACACTGCTCAACCCAATCAGTGTAATATGCCTAATAATGCTGGAAAAGTACATTGGCCATTTTGCCTGCGAGATTGTGCTTCAACACTCATTTCCCTGCAGCCTTGACACTTATTACCCAGACTCTTGCTACAGTACTGTAGGAAATGATAGATTCAGCGCTTAGTGTTCAATAGCAAAGTGGTAACTATATAGGCTGCAACCTAAAAATATGACGTTCCCTCACAAAACGTCAAAAAGAAAATCTGGAAGATAGGGGGTTATAGGTCGCGCCAAAAAACATACACAATAAGAAATAGAAAACCAAATAAATAAAGAGTATAAAATAGTAATAAAAATAACACCATAAATAGATTTATGTAAAATATAGTGAGAATATAATATGCACTTACATATATCAATACAGTAAGAGAGAGAAATAAATCCTAAAGTGAAAAGGATAGTCAAGTCCACTTGAAAGGCTGAAAATTGGTATTAGTCCATGCAGATGGGGTTGAAGAATGGTCGATTTTTCTTGTTCCAGATGAAGATATGCAAATAGAACGAAAAAAGAATCCAATAGTGCACACTGCAACTTGAACTTCTTTAGAATTGTAGATCCAGAAACGAAGAGGTATTTCACTCACCTATTTAGGAGCTTGAACTAGCTCAGGTATGGTTCACACTCAGTGGTATTAGTCCCCCACTGATGGGGTATTGGTAGTTGTGGACGGAGAAAATCCTCAGAAGAAAAGGAAAAATAACACAAATATAGTGCTCACTGTATACGTATTAAAATGGCGAGGAAATAGAGATATGAAATACTCATATTTGAGTGAGCAGGATATATTGCCCGCTTTTTTTGGCGTAGGTGGTACAATCCCCACCTGGGATTCTTTAACGGATAGATAATGTTGTATGCTAAATAACCAGGTCCAGAAATAAAATAAAAATAAAATAGAGTAGAATAAAATAAAATAAAGGGTATATGGCAACAGGAGTAAGTACTAGCCAAATATTCCTTTATTAATACATATATATAAAAATATAAAATAGCCAAAACGCGTTTCGCCACTCAAGGCTTTATCAACTGGCAGTCCCCCCATCCTCTCCCTATTTTGTCCAAAGGAAATCTCTACTAAAAGAACATAGATTGGTAGATACATAAAAAGATGTAATATAAGAAAAAATGGTGCTTTTTGTGCTTAAAAGGGGAAGCCAACGGGGCGTGGCCTAACCTCGGACGAAGATGGACGCCTGATCCTAACGCTCCGATCCCCCACGCGCTAAATCCCCTGCCATCAGCACCCCTCACGCCACGAAACAGCCTGTCCTCATAACAGCCGAAACCCAAACACAGCCCGCACCCGACCTGACCGGAAAGTAATGGGCGGCAACAAGAAACGGAGGGACACAAACCCATCGGTGGCCTCCATATTCCGCACGCCATCAGACCAACGGAGAGCAACCTCCTCACAGGCAGAAGAGGAATCAGGGTCAGATGCCGAAAGCCTGGACGCAACGGCGAACCCAGCGGCCCCCATAACCATCGGGGTACTGTGGGACATGCTGCACCAAGCGACCACAGACATAAAGGCCCATGTAGCCTCTGAGATAGAACGGCATGTAGCAGGCCTTAAAGCGGAAGTAGTAGGCCTCAACGCCCGCACAGACCAGGTAGAAAACCGGATTGCCTCCATCCACGCCACCTCCACAACCCACACCCAGGACATAGCATATCTATACGGCCACCTGGCTGCCCTAGAAGATGGCCTGGAAGACCTAAACAATAGGTCCAGACGAAATAATATACGAATCCGCGGCCTACCCGAAACCGTCACCACAGACCAACTCGTCCCCACACTTCAAAGCATTTTCAAAGCACTGGCCCCTGACCTCACACCTCGGGAGATGGAATTGGACAGGGTCCATAGAGCCCTCCGCCCGCAAAATCTGGGCGCCGCCACCCCAAGAGACGTGATCACCCGCCTACACTTCTTCACAACCAAAGAGAAATTACTGATCCTAGCGCGGGACAAACCCCCACGCTACAAAGAAACCCGTCTAACTTTCTTCCAAGACCTAGCCCCCTCCACGCTCAAAAAAAGAAGAGACCTCAAACCTCTGACACTTGCCCTCCAGCAACAAGGCATCAAATATACCTGGGGACACCCCTTCAAACTCATGATCAAAAAAGACGACCAAATGCACATCCTCACCTCAGTGGCGGACATGACACCCTTCGCGGAATCCCTGGGGATACAGCTGCTGCAACTGGCCCCCTTCCACAAAAATAGAGAAGACGGGCGACCACAAGACGACCCTGACTCCTTTAGGCCGCCCAAGAAATTGAGAAGACCCGCCAGCCCGGGGGAACCCCCTCCGCAACGCCGAGACAGCCGCCACTAACTTTAACGGGACCGACCGCCTGCCACTTGGAATCCCTCACACCACCAGCCAACATGAAATATCCAGGTGCAGTAGGCGGCCCCCCTCTACCGACAGGACACCCCTCACCTTTCTCACCATATGCCACCCCTTCCCCCCCCCTTTCCAATCCACCCGCAACCCCAGGATGGGGTATTTTGGCCCACGAACTGGCCCAGACCCTGGACACTCCGGCCACTGGACACAAACGACCACCACACTCAATTTAAAGCCCAAGCAAACGAGACATCCAGGATGAGACCTGAGCAACGCACCACCAACCAGTAAAGGACCCCCAACTCAACTCCAGACACAGATCCAGGTCACCATCATGCCGGAACAGCAGATCACGGACAATTCATCCTCTCACACCTCGCCTGACACCACACCCAACATCAAATCTGACCTGCTACCCAAGAACTATTCACAAACTGAACTGGAGACTCTCCAGCCAATTGCTGGAGTCACAATCTAACCATCTCTTACTTTGCAGGTACCCCCCCCAGAACGGCCCACGACCAGATAACCGACCCCCCGCCCTGGCCCCACAAGACGTACCCCCTCAGACCGCACTGGTACCCACCCCACCCCACCCCCGGGACCCAGGACGAACCCCATGGGCCACCACAACCAGACAGTCTCACCTTCCCCATACCTACACGAACCCCAGAACCCATATGTGACGTGACAGACCATGACAACACCGATAGACATCCATAAAGACGAAAAAGAGGACACCCCACGACTGACCCGGAGGAAGCTCCCCAATCCTACCCCCTCCAACGTAAACGCAATACCACAAGTTCACCAACACAACCCCCACTGACCAGGTCAGTACACCCCCAGACACCCCCCCAACCCAGACAAGACAGACGGGTAAACCCACTCAAACCGGACCCGTTACTGGCATTGAAATGTTTTATAGTTTATTGTCCACACAAATGGTATGCATGTGATAGACCCGGAACTGAGTACACACTTATGGCTGAAATGTTTTAAATGCTGTTTATATTATGTTTTTTATTATATTGTTACCTAATGTTTCCTACTGCCTATGATAGAAACCGAAAGCACGATCCATGAAATACCACTCACAGGACTACAGTCGAGGACAACAAGTGAAATACTCCAAACACCAACTGAGGGACCACGACCAGCACCTTACACTACAGATAGACAACACCGCACCGCCAAACCGTGAGTGCTACACCACACCCAGCGCGGGGGGGAGAGGAGTAACAGGAACGTGAAACTCTTCCTCCTCTTCCCCACCCCTGAACCCGGGCAACCCGGGTGACACCAACCACACGACTGACCCAAGGTGTAAAACACCGCCTCCCCCCACTTTACCTGGCAACTACCACATAAGACCAGGATAGCCACTCTGTAACCCAAACCCCCCAAACTCTATAAACCTCACCCATCCCCCTACCCCACCACCCACTCTCCACCGGAGTCCCCCTAGTAGGAGCGGACGGATGCCCCGAGACCCCCCTCGACCCGAAGCCCACACCACACCAAAAGCACGCCCACTAACGAACCACCACCACATCCACACAAAACCATGCCAGACACAATCTCCTGCATATCCATTAACTGCAAGGGACTTAACAATCCAGCCAAGCGACATCGCACACTACGCTGGGCCAGTAGAGTGAGGGCAGACATAATCCTCCTCCAGGAAACCCATTTTGAGACGAAAAAACCCTTTCCTCTAACCAACAAAAACTACAAACAATGCTACCTAGCAAACTCGCCACAGGGCAAACAGAATGGGGTAGCTATCATGGTTCATAAACAATGCCCGATCACAATCCTAAAAAGTCTTCCGGATCCCCAAGGGAGATACTTGACGGTCACAGGACAATTCGCCAACCACAAATACGCGATTACTACAGTCTACGCCCCAAACACACCCGAACCAACTTTCTGGACAGCGCTACGCACACAACTAAAACTGTTCCCTTCACACCACACCATCCTAGGTGGAGACTTTAACGCAGTCCTAACCCCATCTATAGACAGGAAAAGCGCAGGGAGAAACAAATCATACACGCCCCCCACCAGGAAAAATGACAAACTCCTTCTGGAGTTTGTTAACCAAACAGGCCTCCAAGACATTTGGAGACTCCAACACCACACAACCCCGGACTTCACCTTCTACTCGCACCCGCACTCTTCCTACTCCAGGATAGACCTATTCCTAATATCCCCCTCTCTAGTACCTCACACACAATCCACCTCGATAGGTTCAATCACCTGGTCTGATCACGCCGAAGTTTCCCTCAACATAGATAAACCTCACACGGCCAAAGCATGGACTTGGCGACTAAATCCCACACTCTTACATAATCCCCAAATTCGACAAAAAATCCAACAGGAGCTCACAAGCTACTTTGAGGTCAACACGGGATCAGTCCCATCCATAAACATACTGTGGGCAGCCCACAAAGCAACAATCAGAGGAACAATAATTAATACAGCCAGTACCCACAGAAAACAAACACTCCGGGAACTGGAACACCTGACCTCCCTACGAACAATAGAGGCCAAACACAAACGCACCCCCTCCCAACCATTGCTCGACCAAATTAAATCACACCAACATGCAATAAAGACCTACATGGCTAAAGACTCCCAAAAAGCACTACAATGGACTAAACAACTATACTATGAGAAGTCCAACAAGTCAGACACCCTCCTTGCGCGCAGACTCCGACATAAAACTCTCCAAAAAACGCATAGACAAAATCACATCACCTGGAGGTAGAACCCACAATGACCCTGACCGCATAGCCTCCATATTCGCTGATTACTTCTCCAAACTATATGACCATAAACCCAACCACACCCTCACTCACCCAACGTTAGGACAGGAAATTCACAACTTCCTATCGGAAATCCCCCTCCCAGCATTAACAAACCAGGAATGGGACACCCTCGCGGCCCCAATCACCGAAGAGGAAATAGCCCTCACAATAAAGCACACAAAACCCAACAAATGTCCAGGACCCGACGGCTTCACGGGCCTCTATTATAAAACGTTCAGCGCAACATTGATACCCCATCTAACCACACTCTGCAATTCTATATTGGAAGGCGATCAGGTACCACCAGAAATGCTCAAGGCCAACATATGCCTAATCCCCAAACCACACAAAACGCACCTAGACCCTGGACATTACCGCCCAATATCCCTCCTCAACACGGACATTAAAATCCTCATGAAAACACTGGCCAACAGAATACAACGTCTCCTCCCAAAACTCGTACACCCAGACCAAGTAGGATTTATCCCCAACCGTCAAGCCTGCGACAACACCAGACGCACAATAGACTTAATATGGAGAGCCCAACATAGGAACATCCCCACCCTTCTGCTCTCGATGGATGCGGAAAAAGCGTTTGATCGCTTACTCTGGCCCTTCCTATTCGCCATCCTACGAAAATTCCACTTCCCCGACACCATCATCACGGCCCTCACAACCCTGTACTCCAACCCCACGGCAACCCTCCTCCTCCCCAACACTGGTCCGCACGAATTCACAATACGCAATGGAACCAGACAAGGCTGCCCGCTTTCCCCACTCCTGTTCGCCCTCTCCCTGGAACCCCTTCTCCAACTCATTCGCACATCCCCCGAAATCCTAGGCCTCAAAGTCCGACAAGAAGAATATAAGATCGCAGCATATGCAGATGATATCCTCCTTACTCTCACGGACCCCACTAACTCCCTGCCCCCCCTGCTCGAACTCCTCCAAAAATATGCCCACGTCTCCGGCTACAAACTTAACCTAGAGAAAACAGAAGCCCTCCCCCTCAACTTCCCGCAACCACTCTTAACCCAAATAAAACACTCTCACCCATTCCGATACAACCTACAAAGCATCCACTACCTAGGCACACACATCCCAGCGAACCTCTCCGAAACGTACTCACTCAACTACACCCCTCTGATCGAACAAGCCCAATTAGACCTACAAAGGTGGCAACCCATGCATATATCCTGGCTGGGTAGGATCGCATCCATAAAAATGAACCTCCTGCCCAAATTCCTATATTTGTTCTGGACCCTACCCATCCCCATCTCTAGACTGGACTTTAAAGCCCTCCAATCAAAAATAGATAAATTCATCTGGGCTGACAAAAGACCACGGATTAAACGGATAACGATGTACAAAACAGTTAAGACCGGAGGCCTGGGCCTCCCTAACCTTATGCAATATTATCAAGCAGCCCAACTAGCCCAAGTGCAACATCTTCACTCCCCCCCGGGAACAAAACTCTGGGTAGATCTAGAGCACGACCTCCTAGGCAGAGACCACCCCTCCCTCCTCTTTTGGCTCCCAAAAGGAGACAGACCGGCACTCCCCCCGACAACACCCGCCCTAACTACATCATTACAAGTCTGGGATAGAACCATCGCACGACACCCCCTCATAAACTCCCCCTCACCACTCACCCCAATCCTCAGAAATAAACGATTCCCCCCAGGCATGACACCACGAGATTACGCACATTATGAGGACAATGGGCTAACCAGACTTAGAGACTTCTATAGAAACCAACAACTGATACTGTTGGGGATAAAATCAGCCTGGGCCCTTTGTGGATGATGGATATTTGCCAACTCATACAGAGCTCTGGAAATTGGAAATGAATAGCAGAGACGTGTTCAATAACCAATTCAAATTGTATTCATACGTCAGTTATATTTATAACCCATTTTCATAGCAGGATGGGAGGGGGAAAAATGACCATATGAGCGTGACAATGACATTATTTTTCACAAGTTATAAACAGCTGTTTTTAGTTATAATTCGATGTTACATAATGTATGCATATTGGATAAAACCCAGATGATTACAAATACAGAAATCTTGGACAATTAACAAGGTCATTCCAGAATCCTTATCATGTCGTGTCATGCCATGTCATGTCATGTCATGTCATGCAAATATCTTTTTTCCAGGAACATAACAAAATCATGTTTCAATAACATTTCTGAGAATTGGAGATACAATTCCAAATTTATTCTTGATTCAAATTAACCCTTACATGAACAGTTAGGATATAGAGCAAAATGGATATTCGCATCTACAATTCCCCTCTTAGATCATGTCATGATCTACCTTATGGAATATCCATGGGAGGCCTGCGGCAGAGAAACGAAAGGAGGTATATTCAGACGTGCTAATCACGTCTGCGGGACTTTCCTTATTTCTTCACCTCGATTTCCCCCATTTGCTCTATGCCGTAGGTTTTCCCTTTAAGAGGAGATCGAGCTGTCGATTTTCAGCTTCTGTAATCATCTGTTGTACACATCTTTTAAGTGTACAAGTTAAATATTTCAAACAGCTGACATCTTAACTGCACATCATGTTATCTGCAACTTGAGCCTTGGATCAAAACAGGCAAAGTGTTTTATTCCCAACAACGGGAATATTATTATTATAATTCACAATGTAAACACATATAATCAAAAATGGGAATAAAATCTATTTCCCCTCTTTGGACCAGGGTCTTGGATTACCAGTCCACCCAGTGAACTTGGGCCAGGTCAAAAATCCCAGTGGCAAAAACTCATAATTGAGAAAAAAAGCACATCTGGGTAAATTCTAAGTGAGGGCCATGACTGTGTAAACATGTCATCCCCTCACGTTGACAGCATTGGGAAACACTTCTTGATTAGTTTGAAAAGGCCACTTACATATTAAATCATAAGATCATTTCTAATCAGTTTGCAATTCTAGCAATAATCCCAATCATGACCTTGCGTCCTATGCCTCCTAATCAAATCCCTATTTCGATAGTCCAGTCATATCCACACTTAATACATTGGAATCCATCCTTGGTACACTCAACATACATCAATGACACACATAGTACATCCATGCCTGAGTAAGCTAACACTTCCTCTCTCTCCGGCTAACTCTACAAAAATAAAAATAAAAATAACAAAATAGTTCAATAGTCCAGCATAGTCCAGAAAAATATTATAAGTCTTTCAAGGAGTATAAAGAATCTTAGACACCATAAACTTTGTTCCATAATCTTAGACACCATAACATAGCTAAGGGTAGCAATATGGCTGACAACAAGACAATGTCAGCTTCCACATAGTTCTTAATTCTTCTGTTTGCTGGATGTTCACCACAATACTCTGTGCAACACCCCAATTGTTGAAAGGGTAATACAGAAATAGCGGCATTGGACAGCACTGCATCTTCAGGACTTTCCAAGTTAGTTTATGTCCTCATAAGTAAGCATCTCAGTTTCTTCGGCCAGCATGGATTTTGACCAAACAGATTTAATTGCAAAAAAGGTAAGTAGGCAGGTAGGTCAGCCAGAGAGATTGGTGTGTAGTCCCAAATATCAGGCAGCACAAATACTCCAGTACGGTCTCTATAATCATACAAACACAAGGATCAGTACGACATCAATAAATTAATTATCTAGGCTAAACTCAAATTAGAGACTAAAGTTAAACTCTTAACTAGTGTAACATGTATGTCTCTCAGTTTTGTTTATGTCCTTTATAAAATTTTAATACATAATTTCCCTTTAAAATGCCTTGTATGGATGAGAGAAGCACTCATTCTATATAAATGCTTGTTGAGTACTAAAACACTAACATATACATATTGGTATAATTCCCAATAAAATGCTGTTCTTAAACTTAAACCTTGATTTGATAATCTCAATTAATTACTTTAATAAAATTTTGTGGACCCTGATAACATCTTTGGAAACCCAAACCTTTTATAGATCCTGATGTGTGTGATCATGTTTTAATACATGTTGGAACCTCCATACAGTTATCCCACTTAAACAATATATTTTTTTCAGAACAACTAGGAATGAAATAGGAGAAACAAAATAAATTACTATTGTTCTAAAGTGCTTTGTTTAATACAGGTTTAGGAAGAGTTGTCTTGCTGTGTTGCAAGTGGCCTCTGATAAGGAAGGGACAGCAAACTGTAGACATATGTTATATTAAGTTGCTCTCACTTGTCAGGTCTTGGAAACCCACTTAATTTATTGCAGATGCCTCTATTATACCACTCTACAAATTGACTAAGCATACTTATTATCCTATTTTATTTTAGTTATTTCACATTGCACAGCCTATGCAAACAATGTCTAGGTCCCAACTTCAGCTTGTACATCCTCTAAGAGCCAGCACTAATACTGTTTTATCTATCAAAACTATATATAAAGTATTAAAAACATGAACCATCTGTGTATTAGGCTGAGGTTGTTGGGTGTGGGTATAGCTTGAAAGTTGTGGTTGGTATTGAGGAACCTGCCAGGGTGGGAGTCCTTGAATGCCAGCTGGGCCAGGAGAACACAAGCACCTTGGGGTGAATCCCTGCTACCCACAATTAAAACAGTGCTGAAGTTACCATCTCTACAAAAGTTAAATCCTTTGATCAAATTCTCTACCTCTGCCTCTAAAACTTTTCTGATTCAATCTATCACCTCCAAACTTTCTTTGTCTCGCCTGCTTAAGATCACAATCCTTTTGTGACCGATACAACATACTTTTCCCTCTTTCTTTATATCCAAAACAACGTTCTGTATCTTTCTCATGAATCTTCCCAAGAAATTCAGTTCAAAGAGGGCCAGTCACAGACCAACAGTTTGACCAAAAGTGAACAAGGAGGAAGCATATTCCATATGAAGGTCGAGATGACTTAACTCACACCCCCTCTTTGTGTACACCTATTTGTGTACCACACAGATATAATATTAATAGGCTTTTGAAGATTTATTGTGCATGTATAGCACAGTTGTCTAGGGGTATATACATAAACAGTGAAAGCAGAGTCTTCATATGGGGTTTGCAATACTGACAGTCTGGGTCATAGGTGTAATACAGACATGCGGTTAGGAACTTTTCCATTGTCAGAACACTAATATATTGCAAATATTAAAATCATATTGCAGCTGTTTCCTATACCTGCAAGGATATGGTTTTAATACTTCAATTGAGTTCAAATTGAGTATCAAAAATTCTAACCACAAAAACTAAATTTCATATGCTTATCAAAAATGAGTTTAACCCCTTAGCAATTTAATAGGGTGACCTCTTCCCATAGTATGGTTCCTTTTATTATTATTATATTATTTATTCTCTTCTGGGTCTGCAAAATGCTTTCAATATACCAATACAAATATAATACAGTAGTTTAGAATTGCCTCAAAAGAAATTATCTGATCTCTATTAAAAATACCATTTCATCATTTTCCTATAATCAATGAGGCATACTAGATGAATCTTAATCTTGGAAAAAACCTATCCTATACATCCATAATTTTTCTTGTTGTATAACCATATAACATAACACATTTTTCTTTTCTTAAATAATGCAATGCACTTTAAAAGTAGCGTTAACTTTAAATACTCCCCTAATAATACTGAAACGTGGATCCACGATTTTGAAAAGCAAATTATATATTTTTTCTTTTTCTTTCCCAGGGGCCCCTTTCTTGTTGGCTGATCAGCGTTTTTTTTAATCTGTTGTAAAAAGACACTAAAGGCTTGCGTTAATGACATGCAAATATTCTTTAAATATTCTTCATACTCATTGTAATATCACACATCATCTTATAGCACAGAAAACATGTAGCAGATATCCAGCAGACATGCCAATACAAAAAGCATATTCATGGACAGGCAATTAACTCAATCCAAAATAAATTAATAAATGTCACACTCTGTGACAGACATAATATAGGTTCTCATGTTTGTGCATTATGCAAGTCTGCAAACTATGCAAGCAGTACTATTTTAAGGTTAGATCAGAGCACCTGGCAACTGGACAGGAAAGTCAAATTTTGGCAGGAAGTCCATTATTGCAACAGAATTTTGGAAATCAGCTAAAATTTACAAAAACAGACTCCCTCCTTTTTTTCTTTCTTAAGACTACAACTCATATTGCTCTTGGACTAGTATTCAATAATAAATCAGTTATTTAATAGATTATTATGCTGCCATTTCCATCTGTATCAATACTAAGACAAACTTATTCAAATATAATTTAAAATAACACAGCAAAATACCCATTAACATACATGACAATTAAACTGCGCACTTCAAAATGAGTACCCAAAACAAACATTTATGACAATCATCATTCACACAGAATAAACTTCTAACAGCTGTATTCAGAACATATTATTGTAAGGTATACCAATTTTAGTTTGTATTGGATTTATTTAAGATTTCTGGTACCAAAGGGTTTATTTTTTATTTTTTAAAGAAGGGATCCCGTACGGCCATATAACGCGTTTGACTTAAACATTTGTATAACACTTGCATTAACCAGTTGCACATATGTACCCTGTCAATAGAATTTCTCTCTTATACGCTTATAGAACATTTGGACCAGATTACACAGACATGGCATCACCTGCATTTGTCAGAACTCTCAAAGACTCAAAATATTTATACTACTCCATGTTAAAGGCATGGCAAAATTTTGACCGGTCAATTTGAGTTTCCAAAAGTCATATCAACACAGGTTAAAACCTTTGTCCATGGTTTTCTGATCCTACATTCCATGACCAAAATTTCAAACCCACTTCTTCACAGTTTGGGTCGCAAGCAATAAAATCTCAGCAACCCCATACAATAATTTACAGAATACATACAATTTAAAGCACATACAACATGTGACGTACTGGAATACTACAAGTTAGCTTACAGCACAATATGAAGCATGTCTTGGAACGTTGAAAATATACATTTTGCTCTCTAATTTATAATCTTCTAAATTTACAGCACATAAATTCTCTGCAACAAACACTCGGGCAGAAAGAATGTGGTGTTTGACGTTTTGAATGAAGTGACTTTTTGTCCCAATATGAAAATAAAGGGCTCATCATATAAACAATCATACATCCCACTCTCATGAAAAAGTGTAGTGGGCTTATAGTACTTTTGACCAAGTATAAAAATAAGGGGCTCATTATGCAAACAAACATACATGCAGAGAAATCATGTTAGTTCTAGAATTTGTAGCCCCCCTTAAATAACTTCTAGTTTTTTTCTTATTCATCATCTTTACATGTACTTTTGACATTCCCTCAATTAAGACTTTATGCTTAAAATCAGCGTTGCACATCATAAAATAGCACATAAATTAGCAAGCCGGAGTAATGCCAAACATCCATCATACCTTTTAACCCCCTTTTTTTTTTTAAAACCATTTTAGTCTGCCAAATTTACATCTACGTTAATTAAATACCACAGTCCACCAAAGAAGGGAAATCTGTTTTACAACCTACCAAAGGCAACCTCTACCAAAGAGGGATCTAGGGACGTCTCCCATATGTAAATGTACATCACAGGTACATCACAGCCTACCAAAGGTTTGAAATTATTTTTAACACCTGGCCAAAGGTGAACCTCTTACCAAAGAGGAAATGTGCACAATAACTACTACTACCTACCAAAGGCAATCCTCCAACCCGTGGAGTAATAGAAGTCTACCTAAGACTTAACAAAATACCATGTCTACCAAAGACATTATCCTATGAAAATCCCCTTTAAAATTTTAAATAGTGAAAAACCCCATTATGCAATGTGTGGGGGATGGGAGAAGCAGGTAAAGAAGGACTTTAAAGATCCTCTTACCTGTCATCTCCGTTCCGTCCAACTGCACCCAAAAACTTCTGACACCAATTTGTTGGGGATAAAATCAGCCTGGGCCCTTTGTGGATGATGGATATTTGCCAACTCATACAGAATCAAAATAGATAAATTCATCAGGGCTACAAAAGACCACGGATTAAACGGTAACATGTACAGTTAGTTAAGACCGGATTTTGGGCCAGGATAACCTTATGCAATATTATCAAGCACCCAACTAATGAATGCAACATCTTCACTTCCCCCCGGGATAAAACTTATAATTCGATAGACACGATGTCCTAGGCAGAGACCAAACCCTCCCAATCTTTTGGTCCCAAAGGGACAGACCGGCACTCCCCCCACAACCCCGTCATGTCTGTCATGCCATGTCATGTCATGTCATGTCATGCAAATATCTTTTTTCCAGGAACATAACAAAATCATGTTTCAATAACATTTCTGAGAATTGGAGATACAATTCCAAATTTATTCTTGATTCAAATTAACCCTTACATGAACAGTTAGGATATAGAGCAAAATGGATATTCGCATCTACAGATACCATTCTCAGAACTCCCATGTACCACACCACTGAACACCTTCGACCACTTTAGATACCTACAATTACGCAGCTTTCTAACAGAAACTCAGAATAGGAAAACAGCAACCACAAAACTCACACGATTCGAGACGAATTGCCTACAAGCCCCCACACACAAGGGACAAATCTCCCTGATATACTCTCTACTAAACTCCAACTCCCCAGCGGACACACTCACATACACGAAGGCATGGGAAAGAGATATAGGCCCACCAGAGGACCCAACAGTCTGGGCAAGCATATGGGAAGCAACCGCCTCTCTAACCATATGCGTGAACCACAAAGAACAGGCGTACAAAACCATGCTCAGATGGTACCTGACACCTCTGAAACTCAAACAGATGGGTGTAGCCCAAACAGACACATGTTGGAAAAAATGTGGACAACAAGGTACATACATCCACATGTGGTGGCACTGTCCATACAGCTCGCAACTCTGGACTGAGGTTACCAACCTCACCTCCAGAATATTGCACGAAGACATACCCATGGACCCCTGGACGTGGCTACTCTCAAAACCCCTATTCCGACTACCAAGAGCACAAAACAAACTGGTGGCGAAATTGGCCCTCGCTACTAGACGCACCATAGCAGAGCAATGGGGTAACCATAACACACCTACACTAACAAAGATGATCCAAAAAACTAATGAAACCATGGAGATGGACAAACTCTCAGCCATTCTACACGACACGACAAAAAACTTCCACAAAATATGGGACCCTTGGGTTATGAGACATATAGTAGGGGTGTAGGACACGGGCCGGGGCGTCCGGCCGCTCCGAGACTTCCCTCCACCCCTTCCTTCCCCCCCACCCCCCCGCCTTCGCGATACCATATCCCTATACGTAAGCTACCCATAACATAAAATATACCCACAAGAAACAGCACGAAACCACGATGACAAAAGACACGCTAACCACCCCCGACCACCCGAGCAAGCCGCAGCTAACATCATAAACACAACACAGACGTACCCAGGACGATGCCACTATCAGAAGCGACCAACAGAAACAATTAAGCAACAAAACAGACCTGACGACCAAAGGAGAACGCACACCCTACACATATTCTGTAATATGGATGAAGGCTCGTGCCACTTCCTCATGTATGATACTCTGGCAGTACACCGCTTTAGTGCATGCCTATATCTTGTACCTACCACCACATTAGAAACCAAACGAGAACCTTCACTGTCAAAATACTAATAAAACTGTGCCAACTCCTGAGGGTTGACGGACCCTAGAATCAGACTTACCGCCCAAGCTGAGACCTTTTCTGTGAGGTTGTAAATTCAATTGAATATACTCTGTGTGCTGAAGCATCCATAATGTTGGGTTCCCTCCCAGCGGCTTCACTATTTAACAACATCTATTGCACGATTGTACCGTTATATTAGTTATGATCAACTACAACTAATGAGCTACTACAAATCTAGCTGCACGTCGAGACTATCTCTCCACTATTCAACATATCGTCAGGACATGCATGTTTAGTCTGAATAGGTTCTTTTCTATACTGTTATCACCATACAATTGTGCTATTACTCTGTGTGCCATACTACTGTTTTACCATGTGAATAATTGATCAGCTTGTCCCTGCTGTTGTGGCACTGCAAGCATGTTTGATATACTATGCACAACAAAAATAAAGAATTATTAAAATATTAAAAAAAGGGGAAGCCAACAAGACACTGCAACTGTACTAACATTACAGAATACACATGCGCAAATTGTATTTTTACACATGCGTGTAAACAGCATGGCACAATCATTCGATTCCCGTCTGTGCATTCTCCTGGATTTTAACACCGCGAAACTAACACTAGAGCAGAAAAATTGAAGGAAGTGGAGGGGGTAACCAAAACTAAGTAGGATTTACATTAAAACTTAATATTTAATAAATTATTAAAAGTCCAAATTGGACAGGAAAAAACAAGATGCATCACACTAGAAAAAATCAAATAGTACTATATATAGAAAATAATAAATAAAGCACACACAAAAATGAATGAAAAGAATGTATATACATATGCGGCTACAATTAGCCAAATAAAATGGAAGGGAGGTATAACATCTCTATGTCTATGTCAAAATATAGTGCTTATGTCTGTATAAATATATAGACTAGCACTGAAATACGCTATCGTCAAAATACGAACTTTGTAATAAACCGGGGGAGAGGTATCAAACCTCTAAATTATTTGTAATATAGTGCCATGTGTATGTAGTGTATGTAGATATAATGCTAAGGCTAATACACTCATTCACACTAGCGACATCGCAGAAAGACAGAGGGAAAAGGTGGTTCCTGCTTAAATAGTCCTGCTAAATGTCTGTGCCTGATAATTATAGTATTGATTGGGATATTTTTAATGTTTTCCAATATGGAATCAATTTTTAAATGAAAATCATCTTTGCAGACAGATATTGTAGGCTTGAGGAACTCTGTCCTTAATACATAAAGTATCTTAAGAGTCAGTATAAGGTATTATTTAGTACAGAAGGGATGCCGTTGGTAACAATGTCACTAACCTCGCTTACAGTGTAGCATATATACAAGCCAAGTGTAAAACTGTATAACAACACAAGTGCAAATACACAAGTGAAAATACAGTGCAGGGCGCCACAGGCCAAAAAATAAATAAATATATATATAGTGGTTATAGTTACCAACAATGTTGAGTTGGAGATCAAACTCACATTTAAGAGATAAACAAAAAGATCATTAAAGATCAAAACTTTAATATACATATTACTTTACTATACAATATCCTAGCCCCCCCATAAAATAAATGTAGGCTTAGAACCTTTAAACTCTTGTATTTCATCTTCTTGTTTTAAAATATACAATTTCTTATTAAGGATTTTTTTGATGGTACCCACATTGCTTGAATAATTAAAAATAAATGGAATCTGATTTTGTGTTTCTTCAGTCTTTCTTTTATTATATTCTAAACGAGGAGATCTGTCTAAAAGTGCAACATCTTTGATATGCTCATTTAAAACCTCATCATTATATCCCATTTCTGTAAATTGTTCGTTTAGGGCACATGACTGTGTAAAAAAAAAAATCTTGTTAGTTGGAGCAGTTTCTCCGTAATCTTGGGAACTGCCCCCTGGGTATGTTTAACAGCCATGGTTTGTGATGACAGCTATTTATTTGAATGTAGCTGTTTACATCAACTTTGGAAAAAGTGTGAGTCATCAAAATGTTATTTAAAATAAAAAACATTCAGATTGAAAAAGTCAATATTAGTATTATTCACACTTTTTGATAAATGAATTCCCCAGTTACTTGTATTAAGAGAATTAAAAAAGGTGTCAAACTAATTGCTTGATGCTTTCCAAATAATAAAAATATAATCAATGTATATTTTGTATAAGACCAGATTTATACCAAAGCCATGCCCCTGAAAATTAAAAGTTCTTTCCCACTATGCCATAAATAGGTTGGCACAGCTAGGTGCAAATCTGGTCTTCATTGCTGTACCTCTAACTTGCATTAAAAAAAAATCATCCTCAAACCAAAAATAGATGTTTTCTAAAATCATTCTAATACCTTCCAAGATATAAGTCTTTTGAGCCTCAATATTTTTACTTGATTGGTTAAGGAAGAAGTCTGTGGCCTCACATCCCTTTTCATGCTCTATAATTGTGTATAAGCTGGTTACATCACACGTAATTAAGAAATAATTGTCTTCCCACTTAAAAACTTTTAAAATCTTTAAAATGCTCATTGAGTCTTGAAGATATGAAGGACAGTTTTTTTTTAGTTTTTTTTACTAGTGGTTGGAGATAAAAATCAATATACTGATACTGGGATAGAGGGGATAATACAGCATTTATGCCTGATATTATTTGGCGGTCAGGAGGGTTAACGGGATTTTTATGTAATTTGGGCAGTATATACATCACTGGTATCCTTGGGTGTTCAAATGATAGAAATGAGAATTCTCCCTTATTTAAGATGTTCTTTTCTAATCCCTTCTCTAGAAATGTTTTGTACATTTTTTTTTTAATATCCATAGTGGGATCTTTTTTTTTATATGTATTATGATCTCTTAGTTGTTTTTCAATTTCTTGTAGATATTTTTCTTGTAGGTATTCCTTATCTAATATAAACCGTCCCCCCGCCTGCTTTGTCTGCTGGTTTTACAACTATAGAGGGATCTTTCTTTATTTCTACTATTGTTTCTTTCTCTTCAAAGGATAAATTGTAGCAGTATTTTGAAAGGGATTTTATTCTATAGATCTCCTCCAAACATGCT